ATAAAAAGGGGAAAAGTTCGTATGGTTATAAATTATAAAAGATTAAATGATAATACTTATGATGATAGTTATAAAATCCCTAATAAAGATGTTTTAATAAACCGAATCCAAGATAGAAAATGGTTTTCTAAATTTGACTGTAAATCAGGATTTTGGCAAATCCGTATGGCTGATGAATCCATTGAATGGACAACATTCACATGTCCTGAAGGACATTATGAGTGATTTGTCATGCCTTTTGGATTAAAAAATGCACCACAAGAATTTCAACGAAAAATGGGTACTATATTCAATAAACATTAAAAGTTCTGTTGTATTTACATAGACGATATTTTAGTTTTCAGTCAAACTAAAGAAGAATATAGAAAACATCTTGAGATTATTTTCAACGAATTTATAACACAGGGACTCATTATAAGCAGTAAAAAGATGATACTACAAAAACAAGACATTGAATTTTTAGGTTTATACATAAATGACAGAAAATTAGAATTACAATCTCATATTGTCAAAAAGATTTTAAACTTTCCTGATAAATTAGAAGAAACCAAGTTATTACAAGCATTTTTAGGATTATTAAACTATGGTCGCAATTTTATTCCTAAATTAGGACAGTTAGTAGGACCATTATATTCAAAGTTGGGTAAACATGGTCAAAAATATTTTAATACTTAAGATATAGAGTTAGTTAAGAAAATTAAAGCTCTAGTCACTCAGTTAGAACCTTTACAACTCCCATTTGAAAATAGTTATAAAATAGTCCAGACAGACGCATCAACTCATTGATGGGCAGGTTTACTTCTTCAAAGACCTATGAAAGAATCTTCTCGAGATGAAGAACAAATTTGTCGCCATGCTAGTGGAACTTTTAATAAAGCACAATCTACTTTACCCTCACCGATCTAAAAATTCTAGGAGTAACCAACTCTATTGAAAAATTCTAGGAGTAACCAACTCTATTGAAAAATTTAAGATATTCCTTGATAAAAAATTTCTTATAAGAACAGATTGTAATAACATAGTTAAATTTGCAAACAAAGCAAAGTAACAGAGGATGTCTGCAAAAAGATGGATTTCCTTTATTGACTGTATTACTGGAAGAGGTTTTAAACCCATATTTGAACATGTTAAAGGAAAAGACAATTATTTAGCAGATATTCTATCCCATTTACTAATTGATTGTTAAATTTTTCAAGAATGGAAATCAAGAGCAACAACAGTTATAGCCTTATACCAGTCACTTCTAATCCTCTTTTGATTATCCAAAACCCAGCTCAACTTTTCCGCGCTAGACATAATCTTTTTCCTAATCAAAAACTTATTTTAGATAATATTTGGTTTTCTAGAAACAACCCCGATAGAACCCTCGTCAGAAATCTAAATACTTTAAGTGAATATTTTGTATCATCCAATAAAGCATATCAGAATTTACAGCAAGAACATGAGACGCTTATATCTCATTATAAAAAGTTAATTTTAGCTTATCAAAAAATGACAGCAAACCCCATAGAATTAACTATTTTTGAGCAAACAACTGATGAAGATGAAAATCTTCAAAAAGTTCAATTTTTGCAGGTACAAACCAAGTATGCCAGGTTATTACCCATGTTTTCTCCAATCTACAGAGAAATTTTGAAATAACAAGTTGAGCTTTTTCCTGATGACCTTGAGGATCTTATCCTTGAAGAAGCCAAGTTTGATGGTATTAAGGAATTTGTTGATATCCAAAACTACCTCAGAAACAATAGTCCACAGACAGAAAACTCCGTACCTATGGCCATTATTTTGTTAGATGTAGATATTGTTTTCTTCTATCTTTTTGAAATAACCAGAAAAACCCTTTTCTCTACAAAAACAACTATTTATTATTTAAGTAAGTTGTTAGAATTAAGAATGATCTACACCATCACCATACCAAAAGATATGCCATTAGAATATCTAAATTCTTTAGGTAATTTTCCCAACCGTTTAAACCAAGGCATTGCCTTCGAACATAAACTAACCCAAAATTTTAGGCCAGAGAGTCTAATCCTCCTTCAAATCTACAGCACTCCCTCGGAATGGGTAAATGATGGAGCTATAATTTTGGGACAGCATCGAATTTACATTCATTCTGATCCCACAGAAGTTAAAGTTCTTACTCAACATATTGATTTTATAAATAGCTTTCGTAATGAGATAGAACTAGCTACCTTTAACCATTTGATGTACTATAAAGCCTATAGTCGAGTTAACTTAAGCTACAACCCTGGTTTTAGACTCTACAACCATAATATTAACATGAAAATTTTTGTCAAAGCAAGAATTCCTCATGTCATTAAGCCTCCTCCAAAGATTGAAATATCTCCAGAAGTTGAAGAAAAAATAAATGAAGAAAAAATGTTGCTAAAACAGTTCGACCTCGCCCACCAGATAGTGTTTCTGATAGAAATTTGTCCAATATGCAAGAATTCTAAAGAAAAAGCAGATTCTCCACAGCCACAGTATGAAGATAAAGGCAGCTTCAGCAATCAAGAAAAGTAGATTTCCAACAGTGTACAGATAAAAGCAAATCCACCGAAAGTAGATTCCTAACAGTAAAAGTAGATCAGATTCTTTAAAAGCCGACATCAACAGTCTAGCAATAATGCAGGTCATCTTATCTTTAAAGCATTTTACATCTCAACCATCTATGCAGCATCTTCAATCTGAACCGAAGATTCATCTCTCTCCTTTCTTATAAGAGGATGTTCTCTTCTCATGCAAAGATCATCGAGTTTTAGAGCAATCAAGTTTAAAACCATCAAGCATTTCAGCCTTCAGTTTCCAGTGTGTTTTCTTTTGTGACTTCTTTCAGTTTCCCTTGTATAATAGTGTGTGAGAGTGCATCAATGTATAAACAGAGTGTATCTATGTATATATTTTTCATGAAATAAATTATCTAGTTTGCTCATGTTCAAATTTTTTTTTCCCCTTTCTTTATCTAGTATTTTCAGTACTTTCGGGCAAAGGACTTGTGTCGACAAAAAGATCTAATATGTAAATTTTATTTAGCCAGACAGTGTAGATCCTAGAATTTTCTTGAATCCAGCCAGTACAAGCAGCCTTAGTATTAAATTAGCAATTTTTCTTGTGAGTTAACTCGAACTGTTGGCTTGTTAGCCCGTTCTTGCCGGTGTTCAGGCATTTTTACAGGGCGTTATCAGAGCATTATTAGGTTCGGCAATCATTTATGTGATTTAATTGTTAAATTTATTCTATGTTATTTTGCATGCTTCTATCTGGTTAGATCCAACTCAATTTTGGTATCAGAGCCTATACTGGTTCGTTAAATTTAATTTATATATAAGATCTTTTGTCTAAAAGAAGTCTGTAAGTCTATATTAATATTAAACCCTTTGTTTAATGATCTTTCAGTAAGCTTATTTTATGTTTTAAAGTTTTTATGATATAATCATATATTCTGTTAGGTCAAAGTGACAATATAACTTGTTGTGTGGTCTAAAGTAGAATATCATTCCATTTTAGAGAAATAAATTGTGTGGTCTTTCCATTTGTAAGAAAAAGTTTGTGTAATTTCCTTATTTATTTGATAAATCAAGAACCTAACATCATTGCATGGTAGTATTTGAGCCTTAAGCTCGTGTATTGATAAAAATTACAAATGAAAACAATTTTTTTTTTAAAGACTAATGGAGTAGCTAATAAAATTGTAAAATCAAATCAATCAACATCCCAACATCAGTGATTGGTTCCACCTCAGCGAAGTACTCATCTCTTTCACATTACATTGTAATTTCTCTCTATATTCCCAAATTATTGATTAGTTTTGAAATTCCAATAAGAAACATGTATTTCATGTGTTGCTTTCTTTAAAAAATTCAAATTACTTTTGAAGTTTGTATGGTAAGATTAAAAAGATTTAGAAGTTAAGGATATTATATGACAAAAATAATAAGAATTTTAAGATAATGAATAATTAATAAAATTATAAAATCAATCATTTTACATCTCAACATTAATGATTGGTTTTCAAACAATCACTGAAGGCACCAAAAATCTTGTGATCTAATGAAATTTTTTTTACCTTTCAAAGTGGACGGTAAATGTTTGAATTTTACAACAAAACAAATAATAATGTGTGCGTTTTTTACAAATAATAATTAAAAAAATAATAACAACAACAAAACAAGATTGAAGGACTAGCACTACACTCGTTAACCTTACACTTATAACTTCACTCTAAATAACTAATTTCCACTAACAACACTAATCACTATATTCCAAAATTCTTGATTACTTTTGGAGTTCAAACCTTTTAAAGAAACATGTATTAATGTGTTGCTTTCTTTTAAAAAAAATAATGATACTATATGACAAAAAGAATAAGAATTTTAAGACAGAATGAAGTAGGTAATAAAATTGTATTTTTAGAAGAGTAACACATCGCATCTCGTTTAATTTCAACCTAATTACCATAAATATTTTTATTATTTCTATTTCAGTGTAAACCTAATACAAAAAATATATTAATCTTTTTTTGATAATTATATTGTCCTAACAATTCTCATTTTCATAATTTTAGACATCTATTATATCGGTGTTTAGTATATTTGCATTTTATATTTAAATTAATAAATCAATTATAAGATAAATTTAATTCAAGTGAGTTAAATAAATTATTAAATGGTGGCGTTGTAACTTATATGGTGGTGAGTCATACGACCTATTTATTGAATGGATTAAATAGGTCATATAGTATAATCTATTGTCTGTTCAATAGGCAGACCAGGTTCGTGTCAACTGTCATGAACACTTCAATGTCAATATTAATATTTTATTTATAAATGCGAAATTTTCAAGTCGTAATGGATGAGCAATGATGTACACGTGGCACGTATGTAAAGAAAGTTGAGATCTATCCCAAAAGTCAAAAAAAGCAACACGTCGTCGAAACGACGTCGTAGCCGAATGAAGCAATGAAATGTTCCTTTTACAGAAGACATACGATGTCGTTTTACTCTAGCCTCCAGTGGCTCGCCGGGCCTTTCTCTTTTCCGTTTTGTATCAACCCTGATTTTCTCTTCTTCGATTTGTCCGCTCTGCAATTCTCTTTTTCTCTCATTAGATTTCGTTTTCGCTTGCATCTCTCTAACTTCACTCCAAGCTCATCTGGGTACTCTTGCTTTGTACTCGCATCACTTTTTAGATATATGGGTTTTTGCAATTAGGGTTGTTTGGTTTCTCTCTACAATCTTATGCTCCTTTGAATCATCATTTTGAGGTTTTGGGTCATTAAGCAATTCTGGGTTATTCATATCATATCAAAGGTACTTTAATTTATCTGACCTAAATTTTTCTATTCCTTGTGATACTCTTTTGTTTATTTTTATTTAGTTTCTCCTAATCAGTGACTCTTGGGTGTTTGGAATTTTGGGTTGTGCTCCAGATTCTAAGTTTTCTTTGGGTTCATTGATTTCTCAATTTCTCTTTGGACTTTGACCACCTTTCTCTCATTTACAGCTCTCTGTTTGCTTGGGTTATTCTTTCCAAGTATCACTTCTAGCGTAAAGGGCATTAGCCCACTTTTGGTTACTTGAAATATTGTATTATAGTGCCAAATTTTATACTATCAGTTTTAAGGTATTTGGGGTTGTGTTGTTTAGGATTGTTTGGCATCAAAAATCTGTTTTTCCCATTTATCATTTCTCTGGAAAATTGGGTTTTGTTTTGTTTTTTTTTTTTTTTTTTTTTTTTTTTTTTTTTTTTTTTGTGTGGAAATTTTGAGGGTTTTTCCCCCCTTGGTTTCAAAAGTTTGGACTAATGGCTAGAGGAATAACTGGGAATTATTGAAGGTATTGCAGCTAATTCCTGTGTGAATGGATAATCCAACACCAAAGCTGGGCCCGAAAGGCTTAATAAAGAAGCATGAATTTGTAAGAATTATTATTCAATGTCTGTATTCTTTAGGGTACGAAAATTCAGCAGCTTGTTTGGAATCAGAGTCAGGAATTTCATGCAAATCTATAGAACTTGGATTGCTTAAATCCCGAATTCTGAATGCAGATTGGGATGATTGCATTGACAGCCTTAATGCAACTAAGGATTTAATGGATGAAAAGAGAGGGCTGGCACTGTTTCTTGTGTTTAAGCAGTGTTTGTTGGAGTGTTTGAATCGTGGGGATGATTCTTCTGCTTTAGCAGTCCTGCAAAAACAGATTTCTGCATTACACGTAAGCAGGGAGAAGGTTCACAACCTTGCTTTGGGAATGATGTTGCTGAAGGAAATGGGGTTGGGTAAATTTGAAGGTGATGTTATTCGTGAATCACGAGAAAGGTTGTTAATAGAATTGGAAAATTTACTTCCACCACCTATTACGCTTCCTGAAAGAAGGTTGGAACATCTGGTCGAAATGGCTGTTAGTGCCCAGAGAGATTCATGTGTGTACCATAATACAATTGAGGCAATCTCACTCTATGAGGACCATCATTGTGGTCGAGATCAGATTCCCACGGAGACTGTTCAGGTGTAATAAGTGTTACTGTTACATTTAATTTTCTGCTTGTAATGTTTAAATGGTTTAGATTCTAATTTAAATTTACTTTTGCTCTTAGACTTGAACTTGCTTTCTTTTTTTGATAAGTAGACTTGAACTTGCTTTCACACGCTGCTTTTTTTTTTTCTTTTTTTCTTTTTATCTTAGTTGGTACTCACACACACATACCTCCTCTGAGACATGAACCCTAGACCTCCTCCCTTTGGGAAGTAAGGGCCTTGTACCGCTAGGCCACTGACGTGTTGGTGCTTTCACACTCTTGGCAAACCTAGTTTTTACCATTACATAGAGCAGTGACCCTTTCTAAGTTAACTGTCTTATACATAAAATTACCTTTTGTATCTTTTTTTCCTAGTTATTTTGTACCTTTTTAAAGCTCAATGGAAATTTCTTGTCCTTTACTTTTCCCTGAATGAACTGCTTATCCAGGAACATGCTTATGGCATATTACATGATGGAATACTATAACCTTATACAAGTTAGCTTTGGTTGTTTTGTATTGTGTAATATAAATTCATATGTATTCTTTCGACAAGTTACATTTGTGTAATTTGTAGATTGATTGGTAGTCTTACTTTATAACTTCTTTACACTGATGATATATTGCTATTTATGGAGTACGTAGGGATTTATTGAAATTCTTTTGTTGTGCTCATATAAGTAAAAACACGGAAATTAATGTTGTCCTACAATCAAATAATGGTAGACTAGTGTTCTTTTTTTTCTTGGTTGATGTTGAGGTTAATTCTGGTGTGAGATTAAATAGTGTTTCTTTTTAGAGTTTCCATACAGAGGAAAAACCATGTCTTTCCATCTGGAATGTGGCAATTAGGGTTGGATTATGATTAAAGGTTGAAGTTTTCAGGATCAAATTTGGGTAGTTAAAGGGCTGGTTGTTGCTATTAGTTTTGCACAAAATTGCGGAACTTAAAATAAAAAGAGAGGAAAATGAATATGAAGAAGGGAAGATAAACTTAAAATCTTACTAAGTTTATCTTACTAAAAAGAAAATCCTTCTTAGAGTTTTACCTAGGATAGATTAATGCAATATCATCGCTAAAAACTGCAAGAGTTTGCTGATAAACTTTTTATTGTTCAACCTCTTTAAATTGTATGTAAAATGCTTGTTTTATAAAGTTATAATCAACCCAAAAAAGGAAATTTTGATTTGGAATTCCTACTCAAGAGTGAAGAAAGAATTTCTGATGTAAATTCACAAAAAGAAAAGGATTTCTGCAGTAATTCTAAACTAATTCCAAACGACAAAAGGACTCGACAGTACAATGAACAAAATTAAATTACCAAGTTATTTTTTATTTTTTATAAGTTAAATTTCCAAGTTATTCTTAAACTTGAGAAAATATAAAAACTGAGCAAATTAAGTTTCAAGTAAAGTGGATGAACAATTGATTATGCTTTTGCTAGGTTAATTTCAGCAAGGTTGGGGAGCCTCTTTCTTGTTGTGCAGATGTTTCTTGCTCAAGACTCGTGTCACCTCGGCTTTTGGCGAACACGTAGAAGGGTGTTGTTGCGATCTTAGGCTGCTGATCATTGATTATAATTTACGGGTGCACATTTTTTGCATGGTTATGTGACCCTTAACTAGAAAAGTAATAGTGTGGAAATGGAGAGTCATGAGGTCAATTCGACGCTCCTTAATCATTCATTGAATGATGATTGTGATGAGGTTCTCTTTTAGCTTTGTATTTATAGGACTTTATAATGCGGTCGTGAGAGTGGTTAACACAGTTTAGGAGCTCTTCACAATTGTTTTACGTATCTCTGTTTAGAGCCAGAGTGGTGATCGTTCTTCAACTGTTGATGATTGCTCATGTGAGTTGACACATCCAAATTTGAGGTCAATGTATCATTTATGTGTACTCAAAAAGAGAGAATTTACGAAGGTGGATGTTTTTGTTTCCCATGTGGTCCAAATGATTTGATGAAAAGTGAATCATGTGAATTTGAGACCTTCCTTCTTACCATAGAAACTTATGAAATATAAAGGAGAATAATCCTCGTGATGGCATATAATTGCAATCTCTATCGTAGAAGGAGGGTGAGTATTGAGGTTTGATAAAAAAAGGCAATGACTTGGTTATTTCTTGTTGATCCAGAGGCTTAAATTTAGCTAGTGAGATAGGCCGTTGGAGAGAGAGCTGGTGTTTTGGTACCTAATGGAGCGTGTTGCGGCTGGTGTAAGGTCGGGAATAGCAGCTTGCGAGTTCATTGTGGAGGTGACCTCTGGTGTTGGTTTGTTCTTTCTTAGGGGGCTTTGATTCAACAGTGCAACAGGATTGGCGGTGTTGTTGCCAGCGGTGCGCTTCATGGTAGAATTGAGGTGTGGTAGGCATGGGAAACAGCTTTTACAAGATGAATGTCTGATTTTGTTTCAGCTCTTCAAGTTGATTTCCTGATTAGGAGTTAAAATTGTGGCTAAGTTGTGACTTAGGTGGATGAGTGAAACAATACGACGCTCACTTTGTGTTGGCGCGTCGGTGGTAGCAAGACTATGAGCGTTGATGGTACTGCTATTGAAAGATGGCATTGAGATGTATTTGCCCAGGACAGCTTTGGTGGGTCGAGGTGTCAAAGTCTGAGATTTTGGAGATTGTCCTAAATGCTAAGAGCCGATTGAGGCATGCAGTAGGAAATTACACGATAAGATAGCTCAAAGTAATGGGAAAGCTACTTGGCTCTTGCCTCTAGGGTCAAGATTCAATATCTAAGTACTGTGACCGACAAAAATAATCTGAGTTGGTGTATGCTAGTGAAGTACAAAACATGTTAGCAGGAGATGCATCTACTTGGCAGTCAACAAATAGATAAATCAATTGTTTGGGGAAACAATGCGTGGGGAGGTTAAGTCAAGCCACAAGGACTGTTATTCATGAAGGCACTGGAGAGACGGGAGTGTGCCATGAAGACTGCTGTTAAATATATGTGGTTAGATGGGACCGGTACCTGCAAGCACGAAGGTTAGATTTGTCTTTGTTCACCTCTTTCAGCACTCCAAATTAGTGGGACCAACCCTTGATGATGGCCTTCATGTATTGTTTTTATTAACTTAACATCTCCAGTCATACTGACTCTGCATTAGAATTTTCAGTTAAGAAATTTTCAGTTTCATCAGAGACATGCTGCTCTTTTGCTTAGGGGATGCATTATTTGTTGAAATCCATGTTTGAAATAATTCTTTTGTGAGTTTGTTATAAAATATGTTAAAGGAGTAGAGGACAAATATTCATTAGAATCGATATTGGATAGACATCTATTCAAAGCTGTTAGTAACTCTAGCCAGCATCGGAAAATTTCAATCGTAATACATGAAACTCCGTGTTATAAAATGGAGTTATTATTAGGTTTTATTGTTTTGCTATTCATTTTCTTCCTCACGTTTTTGCAGATTTTGTCCAATCATAGAAATGAAGTTTGGTGTGTCCAATTTTCCAACAACGGAGAATACTTGGCCTCGTCATCAAGTGACCTCACTGCCATTATATGGAAGGTACAATTCAAGTAGTATCCCATGAGTTATGGCAATGTGCCTTAGAATTATAAAGGCAATGTTTGATGTCATCGCAGGAAATATTTATTGTTTGATTATTTAGGATCTGATTTCTTGCAGTCCTAAGAAAAGTTTGGTCAAATATGCTGTAGAAACATTTAATAGTGTCTGAATATTGCTCTGCTTGAGAAATTTATATTATGAAAGATATATCTTAAGGAATTTTGTATGGGAGACACTTTGTTAGGACTAGTAAACCCTTACAAAAGTTAATAATAGTTTGTGCTTAGAATTCCTAATGGTTAGGGGTAAAATATTGATAACATGAGTAATCTAAGGAGTATATTGCTCATGATGTGTACATCCACACACAAAAGTGACAGTTCCACCTATAAAATATAATTTTACAGCAGTATTAGGTTTGCCATATTGATTTAAATTTACATTGAGTTTTCATAAGAAATTTGTTTTATTTAACTTTTATAGCAATCACATAATTCTTTATGAAGTATGTCGAAGTTGCATGTATATTTTTTTGGTTATTGTATTTTAGCTAATTTTTTCATATATTTATTTATACTTGCATAATGTCTATTGTTTTTTTTTTTTTTTTTGATAAGTGTCTATTGTTAACAACCATCTACTCCAAAAGCTTACGTTGTTAGAGAGGGTGTAACTTAAATATATGAATCCTTCAACATGCCCCCTCACGCGTGGCCTTCTTTTGGTCCAACACGTGTTTTAAAATTTTTTATTTAGGGTGGTGGTGAGGTTTGAACTCGATACCTTTGTCTCTGATACAATGTTAACAACTATCTACTCCAAAAAAATCCTTCACAATTTATATAAATCCTTCACAATTTATCAATAAATAAGTGTTTTGATTCATAATTCAGAGGTGTGAACAATTTCTATCCTTTACCTTTTAAATAAAAAATAAAATTCTAGAATATGATCTAATTTATCCAAGCTATATGACTTGCTTAAAAACATCTCAAGGGAAATCAGGGGCTTGTGTATTTGTTTGAACTAAAGAACCAAATGAACCGTTGTAGTAAAATAGGACCCCAAAAGCAGCATGGCTCAACTAAAATTATCTAAAACCAAATTAATTTGGGTAAAGGGCAATAAACCCCCTTGAACTTTCAACCAAAAGCACAAAACCCCCCTGAACTAAGTAATGCCCCCTGAACTATTTAAAAAGTATAATTTGAGGACAAAATCTAAATTTGCCGGCACCTGAGCTAACCGGAAATGTTGGATTACAAAATTGCCCTCTAGTAACAACCAAAATATTGTGACAACCCAAATACCTTATCATCATTATTTTTGGACAAAAATATCCACATCATGTACCGCCACATCATTAATAATAGGGACATTTAAGTAATCTCGTAATCCCAATCCCCTAATCTTCTCTCTACCAACCATCGTCTCTCCTTTGAACCAGTCGTGGCGGGACCACCACCACCACTAGCACAAATGCGGAGGTATCATTTCAACTATCCCCATAACCACCACCACCATCCCCACCCAACAACCAATACCCCCATAACCACCCCCATAACGCCAGCGACAATCACGGCCGACTCTTGATATTTTGTCTGGGACTCGATTTGGCAAATCAAACCATAATAATCACGAAATCAACGTTTGCACGTCCTCTCCTGGCAGCCATAGCAATTGTTGTTGTATGAATCTTCGGAATCCTACGCCGCCATGATTGAGTTGTCCACGATTGTTGGGTTTGGTAGCCTAAATTTGTTATTTATTTATTTTTTCTCCCAATGATTGATGATTCGGCCATTCTTATATTATAAAGAATAGAAAATGAACAATTGAAAGAAATTACATCCATCTTCGAGTAAGATGATTTATGCCCATATAAAATACACACACACACACACACACACATAACCTGTTATAGAATCATTTTGGCATAATTGAGACTTTGACAACGCAGCTTCAACTTCACCTTTAAGTTGAAGGATTTGACCTACAAAATGAATTTGACGCAGCAAAGGCTGATCATATCAAAATAAATCAAGGGAATAATTTTTTTTTTGGCAGAGTCAAGAGATAAATCAAAGATCCCATCCTCTATGATGCACATGACCAGACCTCTGGCGTCAAGAATTGGAACGATCGGAGGTTAGCATCTCTCGGAGACACGGCTTCCAAAGCATCAAAGTATGAATCAATCGTTGTAGCATGGGTGGTCTTTCGGGAATCCATCGGAAACTGTTTGGAATCAGAAAATTGGGAAACAAGTCACATGGGTGTGAACATGGGTGTGGCAAACGAGATAGCAGGGAACTTCGTTGATGTTGAGGAAGACGACACTAACGCCGGCGAGCTTGAGCACGCACTTGACTGGTCGTTGCTGATGACAATGGCGACTTGTGAAGAAAATTAGGGTTAAAAACGACGTTTTAATTTGGAATTTTTATTTATTTATTCTCTTAGTAGTAATAAGGGTAACTCAGTCATTTTGAAATTATATTTTGGGTCAGGTGATGATTAGGCACCGAAACAGTGTCACCTGGTGTTTTTTCGTAGAAAAGGAAATAGTTTAGGGGGTTTATTGTAAAAATAGAAGTTCAGGGGGGTTTCTTGGGAGAGAGTAAAATTCAGGGGGGTTTATTGCACTTTACCCAATTAATTTTGACACTGATTATTTACATCAAACATTTTAATTATTATTATTATATTTTTTGGAACCATGTAGCTTGTGTTTGGATGACAAAATAGTGATGGACCCCCAAACAACTTAAGTACTTAATTTTTTTCCTGAGTTCATCAAGTATTTTCTTCTCCTTTGGGGATCTTATAGCAGGATGGCATATGAAGGTGTTTGTCTAGGAAGACTATTATGCAAAGCAGTCCTCATTTCATCCTATGGGTTCTGATGGAGCAAAGAAATTTGAGAATTTTTTTTAAATTTGCATGCTAAAACTTTTCATATTGTGCAGGAAGCATCCAAAATCGTTGTTCTTCTGTTTGGTTATTTTTGTTCCTTTTGTTCAAGGGGTGAGAATTGGATATTTATTTTATATTTAGGATGATTATTGCATGAATGATATGGTTGTATTCCTTCGTTCTTCTTTTGTTTCTTACTGAATATCTCTTCCTTGTTTGATCTTTATATTATATTAAGCAGGGAGGTAAGTCGGGAAAGAAGTAATATTTTTGGAATTCTCTGAAATAAAATTTGAGTTTCATCTATTGCTTGGGAACTTCTCTAACACTTGCAGTTCTTGTGAGACAGTACCAGTTTGAACTGTAGGAATTTTTCCAACTTCAGTCGAACTGGCGAACTGCATACACAAGATGATCCCAAAAAACTAGATACATTTTGCGATGCTCAAACACTCCAATGGCAGATCCAGAGACCGTGGAACTAAATAGAAGTTCTTTGAATATTCTTTAAATCCATCTTTATGTCATAGACCAGAGATTGGGAGACTAACTATAACTTCATATTTGTACTGTTTTGGACCTTGTTCAGGAAGTTAAAACTTCTTAACCAAGCACTTTTTGGTTGGACATTTAAATCTTTTAGTGGCTTGAGTGACTCCAACTGCCAGATCAGGTGAGGCCTGCATGTTATCTTGATAATTCAGATTACTTATTATCAAATAATATGAAGGCATTTGGTGTTGGATAGATGTTTATATTGCATTGTTTCAAATTATATATGCTTTGCTAGAAAGAAAAAAAAACCAAGTTTTTGACCTAAAAGACATTAGTAATTAGTTTAGTTGTCCTAAAATATATGCCTCTACATTAGATAAAATTGAAGGTCCAAGCATTGGCAACTCTAAAACTTACCTGGAAAACTAGAAAATGCTGGGTTTCCTCGACTCTGATTTTTCTCTTTCCTTTTTTTTTTTGACAAGTGAATCTATCTGTGTGTGTGTGTTGCTTTTATTTTTTGTTGACCTGATTTTGTAATCCATGGAGTTCAATGGATGTTGACAAGTTTGGGTCAAAATTTTCAACTTTATTATAGTACATCAGAAATGCAATACCTAGAGTATGTCTTGCCTATGTGAGGAACTAGGAAGAGAAGACTGGAGATAGACACAACTTTGGGGCCTTTGGCATAATTTTGACGAAGTTTCTGTTTTGATACTCAAACTGCGTACTCGCGCTTGTCAGCCTGAGCTTTTACCGTTGCACTAATCAATGACCCTTCCGTACATTAGCTACGTTTTCAGATTAACACATGTATGCTTATGGTGTTAAATGTTAAATCAGTATAGTGTTTGATTTATTATTAGCGCTTCATGGTCTGTGTTTACATTTTCGAAGTTCAAAATTTAAAATCGCATGCTTCAAATATGCCTCAATTTTTTAATTCGATTCTGAATTTTTTTTGTTCAAGGTGCTTGAAGATGGTAAGGTGGCATTGAAGCACATTCTAAGAAGCCACCAGAAACCAGTTTCCTTTGTTTCATGGAGCCCTGATGACTCGATGTTGCTCACTTGTGGGAATGCAGAAGTCCTTAAACTGTGGGATGTGGAAACAGGTACATGCAAGCACACTTTTGGCGAGCACACTTTTGGCGATCAGGGCTTCATGGTTAGCTCATGTGCTTGGTTTCCTGACTCAAAGCGACTCGTCTGTGGCAGCTCTGATCCTGAAAAGGGTATCTACATGTGGGACTGTGAGGGTAACGAGATTAAGGCATGGAGAGGGATGAGGATGCCCAAGGTTTTGGATCTTGCTGTGACACCAGATGGAGAAAATCTTATCAGCATATTTTCTGAGAAAGAAATTCGGATATTAAATGTGGGAACAAATGCTGAGCGGGTCATCTCGGAGGAGCACCCGATCACGTCCCTTTCTGTATCAGGAGATAGTAAGGTTTTTATAGTCAACCTTAACAGCCAAGAGATCCATATGTGGGATGTTGCTGGGAAATGGGAGAAACCACTGAAGTACGAGGGTCACAAGCAACACAAATACGTGATACGGTCCTGCTTTGGTGGCTTAAATAGCTCCTTTATTGTCAGTGGCAGTGAGAATTCACAGGTATGCTTTTTACTGAGTTCCTCAGTTAAGCTTGCTAGCCCTACTTGTTAAAATTCATGAATTTAAGCATGTCTATCAAATGAAGAACCTGGTTATGGGACCATCAGCACTCACATAAAAATTTATAATATTTTACTTTCCAGCAAGCCGAAGTGAAAATTTTCTGTTTACCCAAGCAGGTCTATATCTGGAACCGACGAAGTTCAAATCCAATTGAGGTCCTGTCTGGCCATTTGAAGACAGTGAACTGTGTGAGCTGGAACCCTAGGAAGCCTCAAATGTTAGCATCAGCAAGTGATGATGAAACAATCCGTATATGGGGACCAAAGCGTTCGAAGAATATATAGCCTGAGAAGCTCATTTGAGCAGGAGAATTGAAATAACAGAATCTGTTTCTATTTGGCTTCTATTTTTATTTTTATATTTTTTTCTCATTTTAATCTGCTGATGCATTTGTAAATATGTGGTTTGAATTTGCTTCGCCCATTCAAACTTTGGGGGTGCATCCCTTGTAAATTCCCATTCCTTCCATTCATGTCTTGCATTTTTCGATACGATCTGTAGATGCTTTTAGACAAGTTTTGAGGATGCTGGAAACTCGGAATTTGATGACTCGCTCTCTATCTTGCCCTTTTTGAAACTCTACCAGCTTAGCCTAGTCTCACCCGGTGCTCAGCATGGCACAAATATATGTACATTTTTATTATCGTTTTCGTTAGGGTTAGAGCATGACATATGTGTCACTTATTTATGGTCTTTTTATGGTTTTACTAAAGAATGAAATGTATTATTTGGATGGTGAATTCAGATGTATACTGCAAACATTGGAGGGAAATTGATCTAATTTCATGGGTGGTATTTAATGAGATGTCCCTACCATGTCTTTATTTCTTTTTGTTATTTTCTTGAAATTATTGTGACCTTTGAAGGAATGACAAAATATAGTTTTGCCTGTTGGTGCTATATTTTTAGGTACTTCACATCTGGTTCCTGAAAAAATCGAAGTACATGGAGTGCAATGGTGCATAGAATTGAAAGCAGGTACTTTTTAGGCCATCTGTGTAGATGTCCTCCGCCCATGCAGAATCAAAATCCTCTCCGGTAACGATTTCCCGTTGTTTCCTATGCAACGGTTAATACCGTAAAACGATTTCCCATTATTCTCTACGGTTGAAACCGTAGGGAACAAAACCACCGGGAACCTCCCTACGGAAATCGTTACTGGAGAGGATTTGGGTCGAATTCTGGTGAGCATCAACATGAGCATAGCCCGGCATGAGTTGTCTTACCCACTTTCAAATACTGTGTTATACTTGTCTTGGGTTTAAAAGAATAATTTTGTCAATGAAAAGAAAACTGAAAATATTTGAAAAAAATATATATATATGATATTTAAACATTTCACCTAACGAGGAAGGAAGATCATCAAACTTTGCCTGGTTCAATTACAATTATTATATAAATTAGAAAGTCGTGTTATAATCCAGGTCCAGTTTGAATTTGCTCAATCCAAGTTGAGTTTGGATTACACAAGTTTGGGTTTGAATTGTTCACAGTTTAACAAGGAGTCTGCGAAAATGGGTTACGCCAAAATACCATTCAAAGTTTTCATCAACTTATCACCAACTACATGTAAGAAATTAGTACATGATCGGGCCTCCGCCAATAACAAGTTGACATATAAGCAAAACGTTGATATATTTATTTAGGGCAATTGGGGTGTGGATTAAAGTAGATAAGATTTCTGTAAAGTAGAGAAAAGGGATAGTATGGACAAAAGATGGAGTATGAATTTAGTGGTCCTCACTTACTCCATCTATCTTATTCTCTACATATAGAGAATCATACATATCCATTTGTTTATTCCTACCTGGTCTCTTCTCTTGGAATCAATGGTTTTTTTTTTTTTTTTTTTTTTTTTTTTTTTTTTTTTTCGGGTCTCTTTGCTATACCTTTTATCTATACAACTCTTTCTCTTTGGTTTTAAAATTTTTCAGTGATCTGTTTTCATTCCTCAACGGCTATTTTATCTCAACAGCTCTTTTATCATTCAATAGTTTTCTTCACTTAAACGACTCTTTTATTTAAAAAAAAAACACTCTATAAATACTAATTCAGCTCTACTAACAATTCTCATCTTCAACAATTATCTCTTTCAATATTTTTTTTAACATTCATCTCCATGGATCCTTCACCTTCATTCTTTCGCCCCTATCTCAACCAATCTCATAACTCCAAATTATCACCGCACCCCAAACCTTCTACAAAATATGTTTGGTGGATAAATCGGATTTTCAGCAAAGTAATCTCGAAATAGCCGTTGTGCTGCCTCCTCTCGATCACGTTTGATATACTTTCTCTTACGAGGTTGAAAGAATGCCCGCATCCTATCAGGCAATAATAATCTCCTCACAGCGTTCATTATTTTTTGATGGATTTTAAAAATATCTTCCCCATTTGAATCTGACCAATTCAATGGAGAAATAAACTCGCAGACGGGTACATCTTGAGATGATGAAGCTATTGTTTTTTTATATAAGAAAGATGAAGACTCAGAGAACAGAAAATGGACTTAAGAATGCAAAGAAGTGGACTTAATAATTGAAATAAGATAAAATGAGTGATTTATATAGAAATTGAAATATAGGAAAAAGATAAAAAAAAATAAAAATAAAATTTTTATTTAATTTTTTAAATTAAATTAATAAAATAATAAATATGTAATAAGATAATTGAGTTCTACACCATAAAATATACTAAATAATAAAAAATAAAGTATCACATCATTAATTTTTATTAAAATAAAGTTCGATCTACTTTTAAGAAGTAGATAGACTAAATGTTTGTGACACACTAAATCTTTTTACGTATTAATTTGTTATTGGCGAAAATCATGTAGAAATTTCTCGTTCCACGTGAGAGACAATAAATGAAGGAAGCGTGCATGAAGCCAATAGGTATGTATAAATTGTAGCTATAGTCTAGATGCTTAAGTTTGAGTATTAAGTAAGGGGAGGGTTGAATTGGAATAGTGTAGGGATGAGAAATATATATATATATATAGAGAGAGACAGAGGGATGAGAACTATTCAAAAGAGTTTCTTTGCAGACAAACAAAATGAGAATGTCATCACTTTCAAGTGCACTATATAAAAGGAAGAATCCAGAATCCAGCTCGAGCAAGCAAAAAGTAGGGGGACCCAATCCCCCATAAACACCCCAAGACCAATTTGTACACTACTTGTACCAAAAGGATAAACCTTACAACTAGGTCAAGGACAAGGTATATTCCTTTTCCCACAAACATATATACACACTCTTTGGATACTAATTTTTAAGTAGGGTGTAAGCGGTCTACTAGGGTCTGATTTTAAAACGAATTAGAACTAAATCCAACCTAGTCGTTTTGAAAATATTAGAAACGAACCAAAGTCTAAGCTCTACAAATCCCATCTTTAAGATTAGACTAGTTACGAACCAAATCGTGAAAGCAATGCAACTAAATTGAACCAAATTGTGAAAATAAGGAAACTAAATTGAATCGTAATTGCCTATTTAATTCGGTTAATTTATTTTAAACTTGCAATATATATTTATATATATATATATAATAGTGTAATACTCTGCATGTGATAAGTTATACTATCAACTAATTAAAATTGAACTAGTGTATTGTACAAATATATATATTTACCGGCGACGGTCCGGTCCGGTCCTGTCCATTCGATTTTTTAATTTTTAAGATTAAATCAAAATGTTCGATCCAAATTAATTTATCTGTTTTAACATTTTTTGTGCATCATAATTCTTAATGAAAGATTGAGAGAAGTCCCCTTTAATAGAAGACAACAATAGAGTGTATTTGTTAGGTTTTACTCTCTATTATATATACACATATGTGTATATATATACACGTATATGTAAGGATCACTTCCCCCATTTAATCCAGACCTACAACACAATGGGTCACCATCATAGGTAACCTAACCCCTAGGAAGGTGGGCAATGGATGACCTTAGCAACCCCATATTTTTGTCTTGAGATATTAATAATTTTTCAGCATGTGGGTGACCTATAAATCCAAATAAAGGGCCCTTCAAAAGAAGGTATCTTTTTCATGATAAAAACATAATTGAGTTGACCAGTCAAAGGTCCTTTCAAAGCTTGTGTAAATGACATAAAATAAGATTAGTTTGAAATCGACATGCATTGACCATTGCACTTAATTCCCCTTCTTCAACCAAAAAATCACCACAGCTACAATATTTCGGATGAGCTTCCGAGACTGGTTGGTTGGTTCGTGACTCTTTTTTAAGTTATGATTTAATTATAAATTTTTATGAATTAATCGATTCGATCAATTTATATTGATATTCGTTCATACAATTACAAACTATGAGATAATCTACTATAATACCTGAAATATAATACTCAAATATTATAAAACTTCATAAAACAAAATACAATCACATAAACAAAATATTAGAATTACAATAAAACACACATTTAACCAATAATTGCAGGGTGAAGAGTCGTGATATGAGTAATGTTACTGTCTATTTTTTTTGTGACTCCAATAAAGAGTGTTCAATTTAACGATTGACACATCAGTGGACGCCGATAAAAACAGATCTTATAATTGTTCACATGATATTAGTTGGTAGTTAATTACACAACTCGGAATTCACTAGCAAGTTTATGAAGATGAGTCGAATTTGTAGTGCTTGTCAATGGCGACGGACACGTCCCAAGTGCAACTGAGTCCCTTCGGAATGATCACAAGGTCGCCGGCGCCGAATTCGACGAAGTCCGATGAGCCTTTTGTGGAGACTTTGACCTTTCCTCTGAGTAGATAACACGTCTCTTCTGCATCGAATTTTAGTTGGTACTTCCCTGGAGAACAACCCCATCTGAATACATATACAAAAAAGATATGATCTATATATATAAACACACATGCACCATATCTATATATTAATATATATGTATAACTGTGTGTGAGAGAGACTTACTTGGGCCAAGACTTGATACCCAGTTCAGAAAGTTGAGACTCTGGAGGATTTGTTTGCACAATTATTCTTAGATCTGATGAGGAGTTTGAGGTCGACTCTGCAGCCATGAAAGAAGCTCTATCTTATTAATATATCTAGGAGGAACCTTTCTACATGAATGAAAAAGATGGGAGATAAAGAGAGAAGAGACCATGTGTATATATATATATATAGAGATATAGATACGCCCACTTATTTAATTAGAGTACGAAACTTTGAAAAATAAGTTTCTAAATGAACATTCATTTACCAAATCACATCTTACTATATTGTTGTTATAATTATTTGATGGTTAGGATGGCAATAAATATTTTAAACTTGTCATTCCTTTTAGATGTTATACCACAATTTTTATCACAATTGATTTGACTACCAAGCCACCGTTACAATAAATTAAAGGGTTAAATTTACAAAATCTTCTTTTAGCATCCAATTCAAGTTGGATGAATTTCATCCAATTTGATAACGTGCCCCAATAAATTTAACTATGTGTTCAAAAGCAAAAATTAGAATTGAGTTGGATATTGCCCAACTATTCAGGTTTAACTCATTTATGTTACTTTGTAATCAAGCGGCTTGAACCGTTCTTGCAAACCTCCATTAACTTCGGTGCCAAGTTTCAAACAGGTGATAGTTTAGAACTTCAGCAACTCAGTCCGACGAACGAGCGACGCTTCAAGTAACAAAACCCAGCTCGAAAACTATGTGAATGGAATCCGGTGGTGGTGAAGAATTGAACGACGATGGATCTGTGGTCTGCAAATTTGAACCGGCAAGATTGGATGATTGAACGGAACGACGGACGGTGGGCATGAACCAGGATGAAGTGGTGACCAAAGATGGTCGGCAATGGCGATGTGGCGGAGGCTTTGAACAGAATCGGCAAGAAGCAAGGTTGCTTTTACCGGCGTTCAAGAACGACGCGATGAGCTCATCAAGGATGACAGGCTACTGTGGACTGAGCTTGGTGATGACGAGCTCGTAGTTAGGCCGATGAGCTCAGATGACGGAGGTGAACAATACAAATGGTCTTTCTTGGAGAGATAAAAAGGATTTAAAAAAAATAAAATAAAATCATAGCAATGGGTTAAACCCGAATATTTGGACAATACCCAACTTAACCCTAACTTTTCCTTTTGGGCACTTGTTTTAAATTTATTGGGTCACGTTAGCAGGTTGGTTGTCATTTACTTTGATGTTCTTTAATAGGAATGAAAGAAATTGAATGGAAGGTAAAGAAGGAGAAATGAATAAGTTATTCTAAGAAAGAGATTGTGTCATTATCTCATTTGGTTAGATAGAAGAAAAGATAATAAGTATATATATATATATTAAGAAATGAGGGAAGAGGGAGTGTTAACTAATACGTACTATGAGGAAACTTTTTAATTTTTTTTAAAATTTTTTTAGCGTTGCTTTTCTTTTTTTTGTGTCTTCTGTTCATTTTTGAAAAAATTTATAAAAGAAGAGAGATGATCCATCCATCATTTTTTCTCCTTACTTCTTCTCTATCAAATGAAAAAAAAGTAAAGTCTCTTTCTCTCTATATTCGATTTAATTCTCTTATATCCTTCCTATCAAACTGAACGACTCTATTTTCTTCGACTATTAAATTTATCAAATCACCCACATTCCATTGTGCTTTGGGTTAGTGTTTTGAATGACTAAAATAGCCTGCTCAAAAAAGTATCTTTTTTTATCTTAAAGGATTTACATTGTGATAATTTCACATATGAACTAACGTTTATACTACAATTTGTCTTTGTATGAAACTTTGTTGGTACTACAATGTGATTTTATAGTATAAGAGAGAAATTGTCAAAAAGTGAAATACAGGATGTTTGTGAATGTAAACCTAAATTAAATTTGTCATACAAGTAAATACAACAATTTTGCATACATACACACACACACACACACATATATATATATATATTGCATACACACACACACATACACATATAATAGCAAAGGAAAAAACAAAAGAAGTTGTTACCATCCAAATGACTTGCGTTGAGATCCAAAAATTAAATTTGTTTGTAGGTAAATTTCAAATACTGATAATTCAATCTATTTGTATGTATATTTCACTTTCTTTCTTTTTTCAATAATTGGTATATTTCAAATTCTGATAGTTTAGTGATAATTAGCCCTTAGCATGAATTTTTAGTTTTTTCTTTTATTTTTATGGTGGTAGAGAAATTTCACAATATTTATGAGGAGACATGAACTTCTTGTTACTCAAATCTTTATTGTGATTTTCAATTCTAAATCCATGGTAATTTTTTTTATTATATTTAGGGGTGACAATTCGTATTCGCATGTCATAATCGTGTTGTGTCAATCTAAAGGTATTCTACTAAATAAGTCAATTCAAACACGACCCGTTTAATAATAGTGTCACAAGCCCTCAACACTAATCCAACATGTCTATTAAATGAGTTACACGTGCTAACTTATTTAATGACCTATTTATCAAAAACCAGACATTATTTAGATTATTTATAATACTCAATCAAACAATTAATACTACTCTGTATAAAAAATATTTCATTAATTAATGAGCTAATTTATATTTTTGTTAAGACGTTGAAATAACCTAGTTGCCCATAGTAATTGAGTCCAGTAATCAGTTACACGGGTGATATTAACAAGATTATGTAATTTTTAGTTAAACAGATTACACGTGTTGATCCTCACAATTTTAATACAACACGATTAGCTAAACGAATTAATCATGTCGACCCGTTCATGACCCAAATCTATTTAAGATAAATCAAAACCCGTTTATATCGTGTCGTATTTGAATCGTGTTGGTAAGTGGTGTTGAATTTTGTCATCCCTAATTTCAATGTCCATTAAAGAAAAAATATATAAAAATATTTTTAAAAGTTGTCCACTCTATCATTTATAAATGGGTAAAGTGCAAATAACCCCCCTGAACTTTCAGCCAATTGCACAAAACCCCCTTGGATTAACAATTGCCCCCTGAACTATGATAAAGTTGCAGTTAAGGACATCAGGTGAGGTTCCGGCACCGAAAAAAGAAGATTACAATATTACCCTTAAGTGAAACTACGTCGTATTAGTATTGTCTTAACTCAAATCTTAATCATCCAATAGAATTGTGACAACACATCATTACCTTATCACCTCATCTTTATTACCGCCAAACACGGCCTTATACGCAAGGCTTTCTCTCTCTAAGCTCTATTTTTCCCATTGTTGACGACGTTTGTCGATCAAAAAGGTTTGACCTGGTCTATATGATGCTCACCAAAAAGGTTTGTTGACGAAGGTTGACGATGTTGAGAACGGCGAGGTTGACGAGACCTCGTTGCCGACGGCAGGAACAGTCTCTTCACGGCGTCGTAGAATCACTTCTCGCCGCCACTGCCCACTACTTCATCACCATGTTCATTCGACGCCGGTGGGATCCTTCCTTGCCGCTTCCGAAATCGTGACCCATCTAATTGAATACAATTGATTTAATACATACATCCAAAACTCAAATAACCCATCACTCATTGTTGTGATTTTATAGATACATCCAGAACTCAAATCCATACACAGTGGATTTAATACATACACAGAGGAGAGGAACCGACGATGCAAATTTTTCAAGCCGCTGTTACGAAGATAAGAGGAACCGACGGGAACAGTCTCTTCACGGCGTCGTAGAAGGCGATGGGATCGGCGGCGTGCAAACATATCGGCCGATGCCAACGCTAGCGCCGGATCCGTCGCCGCTGTGCCAGTCACTGATTTGCGCCGGAATCGTGACTTCTCTAGTCGCTGTTCTGCACCGCCGAGCTCTCCACTGGCCGACATCTCCACAACTATGCTCTACACCGCCGAGCTCTTTCTCGCTTGCCGGTTGCCATCACCTTCACCCCTCTTTCTTTCGCTCTGCGGCTATGATGATGATCGATGCAATTTTCAGCTAATTTGGGTTTTGAGGCGCTGAAACCGCATTATCGAAACCATTGGTAGAGTTTTCAGAAATTGAATTGATATTTTTGGATCCAAATCGCTTGAATTGAGGGCAATTTTAGGGTTGTGAGGTACTGAAATTGAATGGTGAAAGTGAGTGGTCAAAAAAAGATGAGCAAAGTGGACTTGAATGGTGTCTGAAAGGCGAGAGCTTTGGCTGCTTTCCTTGGCTATGAGCTTTGGTGGTGTTTGGTGATGAAGATGAGAAATGAGTTTGCTTTTTGGTCCTGTTGAGAGAGTTCTTTGCTGATGGTGATTCCATGGTGTTGATGCCGGTCGCGGGAAAGAGAGAGGATAGAGATGATAGAGGAGTGAGAGAAACTAGAACAATGAGACTGAGACCCAGTCACAGTGACCATCCAGCGAGCTCCAAGACATGCGTGCGACTCCGGTGAACAAACGACGAGCTCTGTTCATCTTTTTCAGGTAAGCGTGGTTTGACCTAGCAGTGAGTTCCGATCCGGCAGTCGAACACTTTGTTCACCGTCCTACTCCTTTCTTTCTCGAGTTTTTACCCCTTTCTCTATATTACTATATACATACAGCGACCCACCCACCACCGCCGTCTATTCACTTTGGATGTGCTCGGGATGGTGACACTGTACTGCAGCGACCCACCCACCACCGCCGTCAATTTGGGAATGGAGAGAGAAGCCAAGGGTATTGTTCTGACCGATGAGTAGATATATGAATGTGCTTGGGAAGACTACACTGTACGGCAGCGACTGCCAGCCGCTATGCAAGAAATTTTTTTTATTTTTTATACCTTTATAATCATAAAGGGCTGTTTTGTCATTTTTTATTTTTTGTAATCGCGCGTGAATAACACACCCCCATTTAACGGTGAGAAATAGCCAAAACTTCGTCGGTGGGCATTTTTTGCAAAAAAAATTGATAGTTCAGGAGATTAATTGTAAAAAAATAGTTCAGGAGAATTTTAAAAAAAAGAAAGTAAAGTTCAGAGGTTATTTGCACTTTACTCTTTATAAATAAATAAACATCCACTAAATAAGATCAAAATCTAGAATCTATATGTTGATTAAAACAAGAAACAAGTAGACATAAAAAGTGGAGCCCCAACCAAAAACAAAGCACATTAATGAATGAGGACATAATGGTTGCCCTTTGTGCTTAAGGCAGATAATTGTGTGGAAGAGGTGGGAATGGGATCCCCTGGTCAAACGGTTGACCGCTTTATATGACTGTGTGTGTGTGATCTTGAAAATACCGACATGCACATCACCGTCAGGCTTCTTTCTCCTGACTGGCTAGTTGGCTCTATTCAATGCTACACGCATATACACCACGTTTGTGTGTTTATATGTATAATTGTATAATGTATATATATATATTGTATACAGATATGTTACTGTAATATTACCATGCGGTCAATCTTAATACAGTTTTCATAACTATATACAAATATTAGGATTATACGAATCAGTCAAATTTTATAATTGTATATAATTAATATATATACTCCCTTTGGCCCATAATACTTACCCACTTCCATTTTGAAGTAAGTCATAATTTTCAAAGGAATAATGCTTGCCTAAGTACAGTTTCCATTTTGAAATAAGTTGCAATTTTCAAAGGAAGAACTGGACAATTCTTCTTTCTTCAAAATTTCACTTCATCACTTCCCGACCACCACGGCCCCTCTTCGAGATCCTTATGCAATCAATTTGTCCCATTTTTGCTTTTAAACGACTCTATATTTTGAAATGGGTCCGATATATACATGTACACATATCAACCGGCAATTGATGGGTTAAATTTGTTCTAATTATTTTAAACAATGATTTTAATTTAAGAGAAGATTCGATACAGTGAATACACAGAAAAAAATATTTATATACACACATATATAGATGCATATTTACAGTAGAAGAGGGACACTTTTTTTCTTTTTCTATTAAAGTAAGGAGAGTTGGTGTGAGAGTATAAGGGGATGAATTTTTATTATCTGCAATCATTCTTTTCTTTTGTTTTAAAATTTTTAACACATGTTGAAGTTTTATTGGGCCACCTTAACATAAGAAGGAAGTTATTTCTTATGTGGCCTAAAGCAAGCATTATTTTTTTCAAAGTGGACAAGTATTATGAGACCGAGAAAGTATATGTTATTAGTTAATAATTATTTAATAAAATTTAAGAATGTATTAATTAATGATCATTGAAATATATAAATTAATGTTGGTAAATTGAAATTTTATCTATTCGAGTATATTTTAAATTTTACTGTTCGAGTATAATAAAATAATTTTTTATTTTTATTTACTCTTCGAGTACAATTGAAATATAATAAAATAATATTTTTAATTTTACTATTCTAGTATAATAAAATATTTTTAAAATTTTATTTTTTATTCGAGTATAATTGAAAAATAATAAAATAACACTTATCTACTTGTGAAAATTAATAAAATAATAATTAATAGTATTTGAAAACCAAAACTGAAAACCGAAGCTTCATTTTGGAATTGTGAAATTGTGAAGGAAATGAGCGTTAGTTTCCAAAAATTTAAGAAAATTTTAAAATTTGAAAAGTCAAAATAGAATTACCAAACTTATTTTGTTGCCGTTAAAAAAAATAAAATAAAAATAAAAACAGAAAATCAAAATTGAAAATGTGGCCTAAGTTGATAAAATGCAAAAGTGGCATTGATTTGGGCTACATGGCCCAAGCCCAATTTGAAATATAAATCATACACATGTCAATTTTGGACTTGGATCCAATTCAATTGGAATCTTGGAGTGAGGTAACAAGTTTGCCTTGACTCAAAAGCTTGTGAATCATATATTATTTCTTTGATTGTTTATTTTACTTTTCTAAATTTTTACTATATTTAGCTCTCTTTATTTACAAATAGATAAATCGCAACACAAAAAGTTGGAGTTGGTCCTCGAGTCTATGCGAACTTAATTATTTATTATTCTGGCTCAACTTGTCTAAGTTGCCGTTTGTTTGTTATTGAACATTAATCAAATTTTATGCAAGATGAGTTTTAAAAGATCGAATGATTTCGATGGAGAGGTGTGAGTGGGAGAGTGAGTTTCACCATTCGCAATATGGTGATGCCATTAGGTGGGGCCTATACCGTTTTTATAGTTTTTTTCTCTATCTTTTAAATTCGATGCATTATGTTAGTTTATAAATAAATCAATTCATTTGTAATGGTAGACATCACAAATTTAACCGTTATTCCTGAACTAACCAAACTTTCAAAGTTAACAAGTCCAAGTAAGCTAGTGTGAGATATCATGACCCAATCCCAAATTGTTTATACAATATTATGGGTGACAAAATGAGACAAGTCAGGTCGGGTTTGGGTCTGATTAAATATGAATCCCCCAATTTTTTTACTTTGTACTAAAACCCCACATTAATTAATAATGGTTTGGTCAAATATGCTTCCACGGTGTATATCGTTCAACTTCGTTTAAAAATTCTTTAAATCATATTATTTGAAATATGAGGAAAATATAACCGAAGTAAATAAAGATAGAAAATTAATAAGAGAAATAAAAAAAATATAAATCGAGAAAATAAAAATTTTCAAATTTCCTCCAACAATTGTTTCAATTATTTAAAAAATAATGAGTACTTTGATTGCACTCTAAAGAAGATGTATAGTTATTAACTTATTATCTTGACGACAGATTCTCATTTTAACTAAACAAAATCTCACAAACGTTAATAAAATGTGATTATAATGAACAAAATAGATAAATACTTTAATAACTTATATAAAGAATAATTATAGAATTTGTCACTTAATAAGTGACAACTAAAAATATTAACATATATAATATTGTTGTTATTTGTTAGCATTTTATATATTTTACTTATTAATACCATCTAACAAAAATTTCTTGCAAGAAATGTAATATCATATAATCGATATTATAAACGCGTATGATAATTTGTTATGCAAGGATTACTAAAATAATGAACCTACGTTTTTATTTCAAAATATACATAAAAAAAAAAAAAAAGATTTATATATTTCTAAGCTCTACTATATTCGAGATCAATAAATAAGTAGTTTGAAAAAAAAATTAGGAGGGCCAATTGACTATTTCTATAAGTTCTAGTACACCAAATGGAATTTATTTATAAAATATAACAAATTTTAGAGGGTATAATAAAAATTAGAAAATTTTCGAGAAACCTTGTTTGGCAACCATAATTACTTTGTGCTTTTGCTTTGACCTGAATCAAAAGCAATGTTTCCGCTTTAGAGTATGTTTAACATTATTTCGAAACTTGTTTGGTAACGTAAATTTGTTGTAAGATTTTTGGAAGCAAAAACATGAAAACACATTTAGTAAAAAGTGTTGCAAGTTTGAAAATGTGTATGACTAGTTAAAAATGTTAATTTAGATTTTTTTTTTTTTTTTTGAACATTGTTTTGCTACAGTGCGGAAGTAAACAAAAATATCATTTTGATGTTTATGATTTTGATTTCAATTTTGGAAGCGCTTCAATAGTCAATACTATTCAAATGATAGCAAATGTTACTTAAATATGTTTCATGCTTTTGTTTTGCTATATTATATCGAATATTGGCAATGAGGAAGGAAGAAAAAAAAACAAAATTGAGATACAACAGAATCTCTCTGTTTGGTATCACCATAACATGAATCTCTCAGTTTGGTATCTCCATAACTCACCTCCTCATCCTAAAGAACCTCTGATTATGACCCAAAAACCTTTTGTTACCATTTTAGCTTCTTTACTGTGATCAAACGGTCCACATGCTTCCATTGTTTCTGATCTTGAGGAAAGTTCTCGTATCCAACAGCTGAGAAGGTGAGAGAGGATTAGAGATTAAAGAGCGTGATCTTGAGCACTTGATTTTGAAATACGGGGGGCGAGAGAGAGAGAGAGAGAGAGTAATTGTGTGTTTGGTTGGATTTAATTTAACTCGTATTTGTATTGTATTTTAAAAAAAGTTCATTCAAATTCATAAAAATCGATTAGATTCGGACGAATCGACTAGTCATAAAACATTTTGCCACCTCTACAATACTAACAACATGCAACTAGTATAAGATTCTGTTTGGCTACCCATTTTACTTTGCGTGTTTTTTTTTTTTTTTTTGTTTTGTTTTTGTTTCGGACAATGTATTATAGCAAAGCAAAAATAAGGAAGCGTATTTGGTAATGTTTGTTGTGATTTGAATAGTAGTGAAACTTTTTCGAAAAAAAGACTAAAATTGGAAGCACCAAATTGGTGTTTACGGTTGCTTTCACACTATAGCAAAAACATTACAGGGATGAGCCGTACTAAAAAAAATCTTAAACGAAAGATATTTTATTTTTTAAACTTACAATACTTTTTTACTAAATATATTTTTATGTTTTTATTTTCAAATATATTGTAACAAATATAATGTTATCAAACATGCTTACTATTACTACAAATACATTCCGAAACAGAAGCTTTCGTGTCAAAGCAAAAATACGGTTGCTAAACATGGTTTTGAAACATGGTCCGGTCCAGCTCAACAATAAACACAAGCCCAAGGCCCAAAAGAATCCAATAAAACAGGACGGCTGTCCGGCCCGGGTCAGATACCATTTAAGCTACACTCCCACAAATTATATCTATATCTATATCTATATCTATATATAGTCGCTTAGTTTACACCTCACATTTCCCTTTCTCTCTCTCTCTCCAGATTGATTCGTGTGGTTTCATTGTCATGGCTACCCAAGGTCAGGTTATCACCTGCAAAGGTACAGTCTTTCTCACTCTATATTTGTGTGTACACACACACACACACATATATATATCTATACATGTATAAACTATTCAGCTTTTATTAAAACCCTAAGATGGATGTGATTGTGATCTGTGTGGGTACAATGAAATGAAATCGAATAGCTGCGGTTGCTTGGGAACCGAATAAGCCTCTGGTGATCGAAGACGTGCAAGTGGCTCCGCCGCAAGCCGGCGAAGTCCGAGTCCAGATTATGTTCACTGCACTCTGTCACACTGATGCATATACTTGGAGTGGCAAGGTATAATTACATTCCTTCTTGCCCATTAATCTACAACTATATATATATATATATATATATATATATATATATATATATATATATATATATGTATGTATGCATTTCTCATCCATAAATTTTATATATGTATGTATGCATTTCTCATCCATAAATTTTATATATGTATGTATTTCTCATTCAGATCAAATTTATGAATGGAAGCATGGAATTATAATACATTGTCTTTATAGCTCATATATATTTATTTTCATGTGGTTGAAGGAGATTTTTCTGGTAGATTTAGCAAATCCTTGGCTTCTATGATGATTGATGCAAGTTTTAGGCATTATTTGAATATTTATTTTTGGAATTTGAATTCATTTTGCTGATGGATGCGCATTGACAATGTATTTTTTTGGATTTATGAATAGTTAATTCCAACTTTGGGGCATTACTTTGGAGAGAAGGTTATAACTCATTGTATGTTTGGGGCATTTTGTGACCGCATCTCATAAGTTTCCTCTTTATTTAAATTGGGTGAAAATTTTCTTTTTCTTTTTTTTTTTTTTGGGGTGGTTCTCTGGATGTGCATTTTCATGCAGTAGTAACATGTTAATAGTTCTTTGTTTCATGAATGGCTGGTTCATTGCATATTTGAAGCATTTTGTTGAAAAAAGGGTTTTATTTGAGTTAAATCCCAAAAAGAAAAAAATAAAGGAAAAAAGAATGGTGTTCAGCCCCCTTGAGTGTTAAAAAGAAAATTGTGATTGGTTTCCACATTATGTGTGAATTTGTTTACAGCACTGATGGCATCTCTGGTTTTGGTTTCTACCATATTTGTTCAGTGATCTCTTTGGTGCTTTCTTATTAGCTCTCATACAGTGATCTTAATTACAAGATGTTCATTTCAGGATCCCGAGGGTCTATTTCCATGTATTCTTGGTCACGAGGCTGCGGGGTACAAACTCTACACTTCTCATTTCAGTTTTTTAAAATTGTGGTGTCTTCCATGTTGAAAGGCGAGATGTGATTGAAATCTTCTGATTACAGGATCGTAGAGAGTGTTGGTGACGGTGTAACTGAAGTTAAGCCAGGAGACCATGTCATACCTTGTTACCAGGCAGAATGCAGGGAATGCAAGTTTTGCAAATCCGGAAAGACAAACCTCTGTGGCAAAGTTAGGGCAGCAACTGGAGTTGGAGTCATGATGAATGATCGGAAGAGTCGTTTCTCAATCAATGGAACTCCTGTATATCATTTCATGGGAACTTCAACATTTAGTCAGTATACTGTTGTCCACGATGTTAGTGTTGCAAAGATTGATCCAAAGGCTCCTCTGGATAAAGTGTGCCTTCTCGGTTGTGGTGTTCCAACAGGTAAGAAGCTTCTTGCTTTCATCTAACATAATGGGTTTCTCATTCAAGCATTTTATCTTCTTGCATACTGATTTATTGGATTTTAAGTGTGCTTGGTCTCCTTAAATCCGCCGTGTTCAATTTTGATTCTACTGCAGCCTGCTGATATTTTAAATTAACACTATAATGCCTTCTTCACATTATAAGGTTTCTGCCCTCTGACCTCTCTGCATGCAAGTATTAAATATAATAAGAATGTGGTTTTCCAGCATCAAAAGCATTCTTCGATCAAGTGTGGGCATGCCATGGTATTTTAAAAGGAGGGATGAGGTTAAGGGTTTTATTTTTCCCCTCATTCATAGAAAATTCAATACTTCTGCTCTCTTGAAAATGTTGGATCATTTTCATGAAGAGTTGGAAACTGTTTGTGCAGGGTTTTACTTATAAATAAAAAAAAAAATTAAATGGAGGCTTTCCCTATAAAATGTTATACACTGAAGAATTTACTGTTAGTGATATGATAAAAATGTACTGTGTTACGTTATGAACTTTTGGCAAAATTGCCTTGTGTTGTTCTTTCTAAAAATAAAAATCAGTAATCAATTTTCTATATTTAGATTTAGCATAAGTTAGTTCAGATAACGTGGGTGTGTTTGACACTTGACAATGCAATTATAAATGTTTATTGTGGTGATAAGATCATAAGAATTAGAAAAGTAAAGTAGAATAGATAAGAAAACGTGAAAGAGAGATACTTCATTAGGAGGGTTGGCATCTCTACTTGTATTACTACAATCAGAAATTACAAGTTTACAAGCTTGTTATACATCTCACATTACCCAGCTCAGAAAACAGCAAGCCCCTAAATTTTTAGTAAACAATTCCATATTGAATTCTTACTCCTGCATTAGGAGCAAGAAGATAGGGAAGGTTGAAGACAGAAGCCTAGACAAATTTCACATGATCTCTTATCTGAAAAATAAACAGAACAGAAAGATCCAGTTTAACCTGTACTTATACGAGGCCTCAATAATATTTCATCCCTACTCTTGCCTGAACTTTTGCTTAGCCTATCCTGTAAAGAATGCCGAAGAGCACCTATGATGGGTGCAAAAGAGTACGATAGCAACTAGAGTCATCAGAAGATTGAGTCATGAGGCATACAGCAATAAATCAATTAACAAGAAACTGCAGTTTTGATTCTAAATAATTGAAAGTGACAAAAAATCACAATAATTGATCGCAATAATTTAAATAACCTTCCACAGCTTTCGGATTCTCTGAAGTATCTTCCCTAACATCGATCACATGCGATAGCATGGAGCCTCTGACAGGATTTTGAGATTGCAAATTCACAGCATCGGGCCTAATAGACAAAATTTTAGTTTGTCTAGTCCCATCAGTGTTGTCCACCCTCTCCAGTTCCCTTTCAGCCCTTCTAGTCCCATCAGTGTTGTTCACCCCCTCCAATTCCCTTTCAGCCCTTCTAGTCCCATCAATGCGGTCCACCCTCTCCAAGTGACTCCCCTCGGTTCACTTTCTAAATCAAAGAAAAGAACGCAAGTCAGTTCATGGGGGAGAGGCCGGAGTGCGCCAGCTAGAGGTTGGTTAGGTGGGGATGATCCATTATCCAAGTTTTCATTCTATACTGACTGGCTGAGGTCACCGGCATTAGCATTAGCCGTCTCCTTGCCAGGAAACAATTTCTCATAAGGAGGAGAGAGATCATCCTTATAAAGTTTTGAAGGGTAAATAAAGTATAAAAGTTGCTAACCGATTCTCTAAAGCATTCCCTTTGAGCCCTCTCACAAACTAAGCATTGAAATTGAATGATATGAAGCTACCTGAAAGTTTGTGCACTTGCGTATTTCTCTCAAGTAACCGAATTTTGCCATGTATTGGGAAACCCATCATGTTCCTTTTCTTATCTATCATTAAGTTGATGACACCTCCAATCCCAGCTCCTGGCATCAAAACTGATGGTACAAAATATCTCAAAATAGCAACAAGTGTTACGGTCAAAATAATCACCGCATCGGTAACATCGAGATCAGGAACCCAACATCGATAAAGCTTGCCTCCATGGATAGTAATAGCTGTGGCAGGACTAACTTAGAAATTTATAAATTTGGCCATGTCTTTCGTCCTTCCATCATACTAGGCTAAGCGTACACCAAACCTTGGTGATACACACAGAAAGGGCAATGAGGGTGTCATAATGATCCAAAAAGAAATTTGGTGCATGCGAGCGTGGACAAAAAAGTGTGTGAATGGGTATGTGAGTGTTCTTGCCAATGAAAAAAAACCCTAGCTCACACTGTGGCGGGTGCGACGGATGTTGCATCCGTTGCGGTGTTAGAGCGTAGGGCTATGTCGCTTCCATTGCGTGAAATAGAGCAATCCCGGCTGCTGGAATGACACGACCCTAGGCTCTAATGCCACAATGGAAATGACACCCGTCACACCTGCCGCACTGCGAGCTAGTTTTTTTTTTTTTTTCATTGGCAAGAACACTCACATACCAATTCACACACACTTTTTTTATTCACGCTCGCATGCACCAGATTTCTTCTTGGATCATTATGACACCCTCATTGCCCTTTTTGTGTGTATCACCGAGGTTTGGGGTGCGCTTAGCCTAGTACGGTGGATGGACGAAAGATATGACCAAATTTATAAATTTCTATGTTAGTCTTGCCACAACTATTACTCTACCTATGGAGGCAAGGTTTACCGATGTTGGGTTCGTGGTCTTTCTTGTATCAATCGATTGGGACTTGCTCCATCCCTCCCCCCTTTTTCTTCCCTCCTATGGAACACAGTGTAAGGAAACAATCAGTTACTTTTGAGTTCAGCACCTATTAAAGCATATTGTAGGACTGGCTCCTAGGTGTAGTCTTTTCCTTTTTTTTTTATAATATTTACATAACCTTGCGTGGTCAAACCTTAATTAATTGGTTACTTATAAAAAAAATAACCTTAATTAATTGGTTATCTTCTTTAGCAAAGTGTAAAGTATTGATCTTGGTCAATGTGATAATTGTTGTTATCTATTCTATCAATATTCTTTTCTCTCTTGATATCTATTAACTTTTTATTCTTGAACTTTTATCATGAGTTGTTGTGCTGATTGCTTCCTCTAGTTCTTCAGATGTGGAATATCTTTTGGTACAATCTATTGATATGCCATTCCAAAAGCCTATTATGTTCTCAAAAGGATTTGATTGTGTCACTTCTTATGAATACCCCTAATCAGATGATCTCATATTATTCAACCAATTCATTATGCTCTATATTTTGTTGTCTTTTAGGGCTTGGAGCAGTTTGGAACACAGCGAAAGTAGAATCAGGTTCCATTGTTGCTATTTTTGGCCTTGGGACTGTCGGCCTTGCAGTAAGTCTTAGATGGGACCATCTAGGCATGTTCTTTTGCCTAGCTTGTACTCATATGAATTATATAATTTGAGTATTACTTGATAGGTGGCAGAGGGTGCAAAAGCCGCTGGTGCTTCACGAATAATTGGCATTGATATTGACAGCAAAAAGTTTGATAGAGGTACAGCTTCACCTCTCTCTTCCCTGCATGGTTTTTTATGGCACACAATTACCATTCTGGAGTGATCCATTGTAATCTCCAAATTTTTATCTTCAAATTGTAAAATCCTAGGCTTATAGATTTCTACTTAGCTCGTTAATTGTTGCCATTAGTGTCTAATTAAATTACGGCACACGGGAGTTTTTTTTTTTTTTGATAAGTAAAAATAATATGAAAAAAGACGTTCAAAAGGAGAACGCGTCCCAATTACAAAAGTGGAACCGGAGCTAAGGCCCCAAAGAATCCAGAAAAGTAATTAAATCCTATGAAGAAGAACAAAAGCTCCTCTTCACATAATTGAAGAGAGAACGAAGAATGTAAAGTTTGACCGTTTCCGTAGGCGACTCTTTTCCTTCAAACATTCTGCTGTTTCTCTCCTTCCAAATGCACTATCATACGCAATGTGGTACAATTCTCCAGAACTCGCGAACGTCTCTTCTCACTCGACAACCTCTCCAAATATGAATCAATTCCTTAGTAGATCGTGGCATAACCCAACACATGCCAAACAACCCAACAATAAGATTCCAACAGTCAATTGCCACAGGGCAATGCAAAAGGAGGTGGTTAACGGACTCCTCGCCATCCTTGCATAGACAATAGCGATTAACTATACAATTGCCCCTTTTTCTCAAATTATCAATTGTCAGAATCTTTCCCCACACAGCAGTCCAAACAAAGAAAGCCACCCTAGTTGGAGCCATAGACCGCCAAATAGTTTTCCACGGGAAGTCTCGATTAACAAAATTTGACAAACATAAGAACAAAGATCTAACTTCGAAACGACCATGAGAAGAGGGAACCCAACTTAAAACATAATTACCTCTGCCAACGCCCTCCTGTCGATACAGAAGATCCAAAAAAACACATACCTCGTCCATCTCCCAATCCTGAAAAGAGTGCCGAAAATGCACATCCCATATAATCCCGCTGCTATCAAGCCAATAGCAATCGACTATGTAGGCGTGTTTATTAACGGCAATACTATATAGTCTTGGAAAAGTACGAGAAAGTGACTGATCCCCACACCAGAGATCTTCCCAAAACCAAATGCAACGTCAGTCATGGAGTTTGAATCTGATATAAGCCGGAAAAACATCCCATCCTTTCCGAATAGCCTTCCACATCCCTACTCCTCCCGCTAGGGTAACCGGACGCGTAGACCAACCTCCAGCCTCTTCGCCAAACCGACAAGAGACTAGCCTGCGCCATGGTCAATGTCTTTCCCTCCCAAATCTCCATAACCACTTACCCAAGAGAGCTTGATTGAAAGGAACTAAACGTCTTATACCAAGTCCACCCAATTTCACAGGCTTACAAACATCCTCCCATTTGACAAGGTGGTACTTGAACTCATCGCCCCTACCACCCCAAAGGAAATCCCTTTGAATTTTTTCAATCCTGTCTGCAATGGAACAAGGGATTTGGAACATAGAGAGAAAATAAGTGGGAAGGCTCGACAAGGTGCTCTTTATAAGAGTAACTTTACCCCCTTTTGACAAGTATTGCTTCTTTCAACCTGCTAATCTCTTCGCGTACCTGTCAATCACAGAATCCCAACTCCCCGCCAAGCTAGAAGAGACCCCTAGGGGCAAACCCAAATAAGGAATAGGGAATGAGCTTACTCTGCATCCAAGGACTGCAGCTAAAGAGGAAATATCCGGAACATTCCCTATTGGGAAATATTTATGGTGGTGATGAGAAGTGAAAATAGGAAAAGTTAAAGGATTAGGGTAAGGATTAAAATGGCTAGGGATTGCTTTGAAAATAATAGTAATAAACTAATGGCCAAGTGGCAGTGCGCATGTGTCTACATTTGTGCATTAGAATGCCGAAAACGTGTCCCCTCCAGACCATTTGTCTTATATTATATATGTGTATATAGTATCATTTTATATATACACTTTATATGCACATGGGGAGGTAAATAACAAGTTTTAAGTCATGTGAATTTTAGTCCTAAACCACAGTTTTCAGTTTAGATTTTCATCACAAGAATATGTTCAAAGTCTAACAAGCTTTTCAACTTTTTCCATGCTTTGACAAAGAGAGTTGAGAACTAGAATTTATGTTTTCACAAGTGACACATCATCTAAAAATTACTCCCTCTGCCCCAAAATTCTTGGGCTTCCTTGGGACTCCAACTTTTTAAGGGGACAAACATTTAATGCATTGTACCCTTTTATAATTACCAAACTACCCATTTAAAGTAGTTTTGGGGTAAGTTTTTAAAAAGTTGAGGATATTTTGGGAAGTAAATTATCTTTTTACATTGAGAGACAAGAATTTTGGGACATCCAAAAATAGAAAGATGGCCAAGAATTTTGGGATAAAGGGAGTATAAAGATGTAATCTTGAGAGTATGTTCCAAAGTCAATGATCAATCAATGCCCAGTACCCGGATTCTACGCCCTAGGGCCCACCAAATAAATCAAAGCACTCACCATCCAAGGCAAGGGTCCATAACTCTTTCATACTTGAGAGTCAAATCGCCATAGCACTGATAAGGAGAGTATTACTATGACTGCCACTGCCATCGCAATCTCTCAACTTATCGTCGATCCTGTAAAAATTCTTCACAGATAGAGAGTCCATCTTCTATCACCAAATTAGAGCACATTTATGATATGCGGTGCATCCCTTATTCATTGTGGCCCGTGCATGAACACCCATCATACACATGAATCAACCTGCATAGTCGAATGACACCTCAATCCATCTCATGGACAAATCAATACACAACGTTCACCATATGCATATAAAGCATTAAACCACAAATTCTATAAATAAAATTGTTGAGGTTTGTGGAGTCTGATCACTTTGTTGGACTAAATTCTGGAGGACTTGGACCGGTCCAAGTTTTACATTCTGGAGGAGAGAGAGAGAGAGAGAGAGAGAGAGAGAGATTCATCTTTGTGTAGTGAAATTGTTCGGTGCACATGTATATCTTGTGTTCTTGTTTTATTGTCTATTTTTCTTCGTGATTGCGTTGTTTAGGGTTTCCACCACAACAACTGGTATCAGAGCATCCGGTTGTTTCACAAAAAAAAATGTCTATTACAATCCATTTAATTTGCTATGCTGGGCATACAATCTCAATACCGCTCCCTACGAAAGTGTGAGGTATTCAACTAACACCTCAAATTATTCTCATCCCGCTTGATATCACAGATAAGGCAATCTATCTAGTTTTAACTTGGAATTAAAAAGGTTTCTTCATTTTCCAACATTTATACAATACTTAATATATACATTTAGAAAGGAAATAACTATAGCAATGTCGGAAAAGTCAACTGAACATTTAGATTAGGCTGTTGAATATTACCAAATAAACAATAGTATTTCAATTAACTGGAAATCCATCATCATTTTCCAAGTTCAACTCATATCCAATTAATGTATCAAATTCTACAATCAAGAAGCTGAATAATTCATCAAGTATGGAAACTCCGGAAAATATTAATACCCATATCCAGTCAAACATTGTGTATCCTATGCGTCTTTAGGGACCCCTAGTAAATGTAGGCAATTTCCTGGATCAAAATCAATCTTTTTCCACAGCCACAATTCACCTCTGAAAATTCACCATAAATCACAGATATCATATGTTTGGATAACATAAAATCTGGAGGAAGTTCAGTATGTGTGTTTTTCATTTCTCACAACCTCGTCCTCAATGTCAAACATTAGACATGAATTAAAATTAATCAAAGCACTGCTGTCCAGAATTCCTAGAGGGGCAACTAAATTGTATAATAAATCGTCTCAGGTGATCATTTTTTTTTTTCAGTGGTAGTGGTGAAACAAAATTTATCTTACAATCAATCTTTTTCCATGTGAAATTGTGATCTACAGCAAAGAATTTTGGAGTCACTGAATTTGTGAATCCAAAGGACCACGAGAAACCAATACAGCAAGTTATCGTTGATCTTACGGATGGTGGTGTTGACTACAGTTTTGAGTGCATCGGGAATGTCTCCATAATGAGAGCTGCCTTGGAGTGCTGTCACAAGGTATAGATAGCTTGTGCCTGTTGATGAAGTCACACATAAAACAAATCTGATTTTCTCAAAAAACTTGCAGGGCTGGGGAACATCAGTTATTGTGGGTGTAGCAGCATCTGGTCAGGAGATATGTACTCGTCCATTTCAGCTGGTGACCGGTCGTGTCTGGAAAGGAACCGCGTTTGGAGGTTTCAAGAGCCGTTCACAAGTACCTTGGCTAGTGGACAAGTACATGAAGAAGGTAAATACAGTCTTTATGAACTCCACTCTGTTCTTTAAGTGGAGTTATGTTATACGGAAACTCACTGGCTCGTATTGCAGGAAATCAAGGTTGATGAATACGTCACTCACAATTTGTCTCTCCCGGAGATCAACAAAGCTTTCGATCTGATGCATGAAGGGGGTTGTCTTCGCTGCGTTCTTAAGACTGATGCATGAGGTGATGAATGAAGTCCTATGTTAAATACTTCACCTTGTTATTACCTTGTGTGCTGAACCTTCTTTCGTCTTTATAATGAAGTCCTATGTTAAATACTTCACCCTGTAACCTTGTGTGCTGAACCTTTCGTCTTTATAATAACTGTAAAAGATCCAAATGCCTGCTTTCTATAACAAAGTTGGGATGGTTTGGACGTGGAAATACCATTTTGCCCAGTCTCTCTATATTCTCTCCCTTCCCATAAGGTTTTTGTTTCTCGTCTGTCTTTTGTTTTATTTTTAGAAGCACAGATCGACGAGTGGGATTATAAAATAATGTCGAATGTTAGGTATGTGTTTAGTGCACCCCTACCGGCACTGCATGTGAACGTCGTGCATAAAGTTGCCGTTTGTGACATTTCAGCCTTCAACAAGAGCAATGAAGGGCAAAATAAATTAAAAATAATTTAATTATAAAAAATATTATAATGTGTTACAAATATCTAACACATGCTTTATACTTAACCACAAGTTTTTGACAATTCTATTGATAAAAGTATTTTTTTTTATTACAACAGTAACCCCAAGCGGGCTCAAGTAACGAAATGTCCTTGTTACTTAAAATTTTATTCCATTTTAAATAGCACTCACCACCTATTATTAAAATTTAACCATTATATATAACAAACTCATTAGAGGTAAATTTGATAATTATTCACTACTAATACAATAAATAAATAATAAAAATTATTTTTTTTAAATGTTAAATTGAGGAACTCTTTTTTTTTTTTTTTTTTGGTTTGGACGGAGGGAGTATTAGATAGATGTGCAATTACCTCAAATCACACTTCATTTAAATTCACACATTGTTTTTTTTTTAAAAAAACGAAGCAATTTCAGTGTAATTTTTCTGTTTATATGGGGCTTTATCATCCCTCCTCAAAGTACAAAAAATCTGAAGTCGGCCGAACAAAAGAACTTTAAAACCCAATCGTCTCCAAAAAAAAGTCATTGCCATTAAAGAATCAAAGAACTTTATACAGAGTATTTTGCACTTTTTGCCTCAGAATTTTCACCAAAACACAGCTTAACATTACCCTTGACATAAAACCATTGAAATAGAGAGGAAAATAAAAACTCCAGTCACAATTGTTATACGTCAACTTACAACAGCAGAAGATTAAAGAGAGAGAAGAGAGAACCGATATACTTCAAAAAATATCAGTCCAACCGATTTGTGAATTTGCAGTTCAACAACAGCTCCATGATTCCATTTTTTTCTTGCATCTAAATGGTACCTTTAAATCGCACCCACCCTTTGACGATGAATAAACAAAGATGTTTATAAGGTAAATCAAAACAAAAACGATCTGACTTCTCGACTATTTGCAGTTCAACAGCACCTATATGATTTCATTTTTCACAAAGCTTGCATTCTAAATGGTGCCATTAAATAGCCCCCACCCTTTGACAACCACAAAATAAGACGTTTATATATAACAATTAACAGGTCTCAGACTCTGCATCTCTTAGTTTAGTGGTGGTGTACAATGGAAGTTTGTGCTGGAAACACAAAACCATATAACAGGAAAAAAACTTGCCAAAACTCACGGAAGAACATCCGAGTACCTGTAGAGTCGAGTGAATTACTGCCCCCGTCACGTGACATACTCATGGTGGAGGAGCCCACTTTCCAGCTTTGAACTCTTTGTAGAAGCTGGACTTCTTGGAAACAACGTAAAATACTGCAGCAATGAAGTGAAGAAAGGAAAATAGAGCATTTAAAGAAACAGAATTATTTCTGAGAGCCTTGATAGTTTGGCTTCTTAGGAGGAGACAACAACATACCTGGAATTCCGAGGATTATAAAATCGGGTTCTTTCAGAACATCATGAAGCGTCCTCTTCTCGTTTATTTTCACCCATTTAGAAGAACTTCTGCCTGAGGAGACATTAAATGAAGGAAATTAATACACATACTTGTGGATCTTATGGAGCCAAATAATGATATATATTCAGAAGTAAATATAATTTGAAATAAAAAATATTGACAAAAGGCTAATGTTGGCAATATCCACATAATACACACCAATTCAACTTATTACAAGGAACATGGATAACACTAAAACAATATAAAATGAGCACCTAAGCAAAGGATAGCAAACAGTCATATATTGACAGTCTCAAGATCAAATGACAGATTTGGAAGTTTTAACTTATGAGGAACATGAAACACAAACGGGTAATACTAGAACAATATTAAATGAGCACCTACGCAATGAGTAGCAAACAGTCAAAAATTGGTAAGAGAACACGGACAGATCACCACCAAGGGCCTTTTTCATTAAACATTTCTTGCATAAAACTACCCAGTTACCTACACACCATGTAATCTTCCATTTTCTCTGTTTCTTCGTCTATTATGCGCTTCTTTCATAATACTCTCATCAAATTACAAAGATGCCACAGGGTTAGAGTTTATAAATAATTTGATAATAAATCAATTTGGCAACAATGAGTTTAGAGATAAAAAGTTTATAACACTTTAATGCCATTCTGACAGGAATGAAAGTTGAAAGACAATGGAGTATATAAATGCAGATAATGCGTCTGGGTCGATCACACTAAAGAGCAAGGTTTCATATTTGATGCATATAGTAACTTCAACAAAAAAAATTGTAGTTTGTTGGTCTGAGAAATCTTTGAATTTTATGTGCTCGAAAACATGGTTTAAAAATGATATAGCCAATATTTTGGTTCCACAAAATCAGTTTTCTTCTCTCCAACAGAATTCTATACATGTAGTATTGTAGATCCTTCCCATAAAATCATTCTTCCTTCTCTCTCTACTCTCCTAAAGTAAGTCACAAAGGTTTTTCTTTTTTATTTATTTTTTTATTTTTTTCACTTGATCAGATTATAACTTACCTAAATGTGGAGTTTGATGTTAACTTTGAGATATTGCTGGTGATCTTACTTTGAATCTTCAAATCTACAAATCTACTGATTTATTTTCAATTTTCCATCAAAGGTAAATTATTTAAATTATTACTTATACACACACACACACACACACACACACACATATATATATTCAATCATCAGTTCTGGTAAAACATTTACTAGAATTTATGTTACATTTTTTATTTTTACAAGTGCATTATTCTAATTATTTGGTATTAGTATAGTATAGTGTGATAGTATATCATTCTACTTTTTTATTTTTATTTTTTCACTTTCTTATTGTGTTTCTCGTATTTATTTTATTATCATATGTATATAGAGTACAATAGATTATTATACCATAGTGAAAATATGTGATTGTATATACATTTATAAACATGCTTGACATATTATTCTCTGACAGGGTGTCTGTAATCAATATAACACTACTCACTAGTAATAAGAATAACCTGATTCATGTGGATTTAAGAGGGAAAAGTATGAGATATACTACCTCCAGAGTTTCCATGATCTAAATTATCAACTGCATCTTTTTCTTCATCATCAAAGCTCTCTAGATTAGAACCAGCAGTTCCCTCTAAGAGATCACGAAGAATTTCTTTCTTTGATAAAAGTACTCCAGAACCAGCCTGATGAATGAGGGTTCAAGAAGTAAGATCAAAAGGGTGACCTCATTAAATTTGCAGATATGTAATATATTGAAGGCTTGGACGTAAAACATTTCAGAGAACAAGGATGCAATTGAACGGGCATCCTATATTGTGCAAGAAACTCTCTTGTAAATCCTCTGGATTCTAAAAGAAATTACTCCACTGGAATGTCACATAGCAATAAGACATATCTGTACCACACAATACATGAAAACATACCTTCTATATATGAAAAACATCTTCCCATGTTGCTTTGGCTTTAATCAATATTATGCCCTCAAAAAAACAAATAAATTCTGTAATGATAAAGTTCAGTAATTCAGATGCTTACATTGCCTTTAAACCCACCAACTTCAGGTTTCCCACGAAGCATGGTTGTTAAGGGGGTGCAAGATTCCAAAAAAGACCTCGACTCATATCAAGGCTCAGCTGGACTCAGCCCCTTTAATCAGGCTCATGCTTTTTAGTAGGTTTCAGCCTCAAAAAAAGTACGCCTCATTTTTTTAATCATCCATTCATATTGTGTTCTATTTTAAATTACCATTAATTTTCATACTCTACATCACATTTAGTCACATTTGATGGATCATATTGCTTAATCATATTGGATTCATGAGCTTGTGTTCGACTACTTCCACTAATTGTGTCTAGTGATTGAATATAATACATGTTTAAAATCTGCATTATTATGGCCCCTTTTTTTTGGATAAATATAATTATGGCCTTTTATTGCTGTACATTTTTAATAGTATTTGATTTAGAAAATGCATATGGATATTGAAATGCCAATTAATTAACCTGATCATTTCAAAATTTTCATTTTGAAATACTTTTGATCAGTTGTGTTGAATATCTTTTATTGATCCGATTTTACATTGATATATTTGAATTCATACGCAAACTAAAAAGATGTGTTTATTGATCTAGGTAATCCATTATATTGATACAGTGAAACTCTCTTTTATTTTGATATTGACTAGTTTATGAATTTTTTATTTTGATATTTGACTAGTTTATGTTGTGTATTTAATTTTATTTTTATTTTTTATGTACTTATATTTGATATTCATTTTTATCACACACGTCATACTTCAATTACGCTTGGCGCCATATTTTGCACCTTAGGCTTAGGCTCTAGAAGATCTTTTCTCCTTTGCGCCTTTGTGCACCCCGAGCATTTAATAACCATATGCTATGAAGTAACTATACAAAACTAAACATTAATTAACTACTACTAGCCACGTGTATTGGAACCATGTAATTATCAAGAAGTTCCTAACAATAAAATTCAAAGAACAAAGACATGCGAGTTCCTGCACCTGACATTAATTTCCTAATAGTGTACAGCAAGGGGATAAATTCTGCATAACATTATTTTTTAATGATAAATTGTTAATTTTGTGGAGATAAATTGGTAATTTTATGGATAAGTATTCTGCATATGTTAATTGGTAAACCAAGTAAATGGTGTTCAATAAATTCTACAAAGGTAATATTAGAAGTATCCAGTGATAGATTTATCCACTGACAATTTAATATAGATCCTTTGTTCTCTTCCAATGGTAAGTAGAACAAAAAATAACAAAAAGAAAAAAAAATTTGAAATCGATGTGCTACATAAATTAACCGAGTCAGATAACTTGGATTCCGATAGCAATTTTATTAGCTTGTAGAGCCTCCTTGGTCAAACAACCCATCAAAAGACTGACTAAGCTTACCGCATTAGAATTTGTTCCAAATCACAAAGTATGATGTTAACGTTAACTTTTTCACCCTGGAATTCATGTTGCACAATTGAGTAAAGTTCATGAATGAGGATGTCATTTTAAATTTGAAGTACATCGTTGGAACATATGACAATCTCTTGATTTGGTAATGTCAATAACCATAACTGAAAAGGAACAAAAAGAAAATACAGATAAAATTTGAATAAAAGGGCTTACCTCATAGTAAAGTTCAACGTCTTCACGAGTGTAAGCATTTTCTTTATCCCAAGGCAGCGGTGGGCAACCTTCTGAGAACATGTACACAAATTAAGGAACCAACAAAGTGCTTACTGCTTTATTTGGTATGAGGGATGAAAACTGGAGGGAAGGTATAGGAGGAAGGATGGAAGAGGCATCCCCAAGGGAGAGTGCCTATTCCTCCTCTTGTTTGGTTAAGAGGAAGGAAAAGAAATAGGTGATATTATTATTATTTTACCATTATACCATAATGATTTAAACTAATACACCTAAAATAAGGGTGATAAAATATTTTTATCTATTTTTTGGTAGGTAAATATTTTTTATTATCCAACAAATATTCATTCTTTCACCCTCCTCTTCCTCCCACTTTTAACTGAAAGCAAGATGGGTGGGCCCAAAGGGATGCTTCGTCCCTCCTTCCATCCTTCCCCTCTTCCTCTCCCCTCTATCAAACAATGGAAACTTATTCCATCCCACCTCTCTTCCATCCCTCCAACCAAACATGGGCTATAAGTTATAGATTATTAAACTAAGGACATTCTGGAATAAAAAGCACATCATTCACGCGAATATCAACTATGAGCTATTAGACAGGCCAAAAAAAAAAAGACAGTATAACAAAGGATATCACGTCAAGTTGAGCTGAAATCATGTCAGTCTCACAGAAGTCCTCAATGAAGTCACTGTACATAACCTCTGCATACAGAAAGAGGACAGGCCAGTGAAGAATATTATCTTTATCTAGTACTGGCTTTTTCAATCCAGTGAGTTCTCGGAAAGTTGCCTTCCCCATCTTCAAATTTCTATCTTCAATAGCAGAAACAAGACCCTGCTTAGTTCAACAGCATAACAATTTAATAAGCCTTTAAGATATTGAAAGGGAAAAAAAAAAGAACTTCGGCAAAAAATATCAAACCTTAGCTGCTGCCACAGCCTTGGAAACTTGAGCATCATGGTGTTCACTTTCTGACTTCCGCAAATCAACTTGTATAGATAGCTTCTTTAGTTCTTCATTATCTGGGGACTGCTCAAGTCCTTTTTCACAATATGATTTTGCTCCAGCCAACAGATTCAAAGATAAGGATGCTTTGACAGCTCTATAATACGCCTAACCAATATGTATACTTTTTAAGAACATTGATATAACAGCTGGAGGAGAAAGTGAAAAGTTCTTCTATTTTACATCAAGCAACACCTGGCTAAGAAGATTTAACACAAAGTAACAACCTTAACATTAGTTGGACAGAGCTTAATTGCATCCTCAGCATCCACGAGAGCACGTCTGTAATTCCCTAGTAGCAGATTCACATGGGCTCTGTTTGCAAAGATAATCGAGTTTTCAGAATCACTCAAGACCTTCTGATTTATTGCCCTGGTGTAACAATTGATAGCATCTGAATAGTGCTTTTTACCCATCTTGACAAACTTGTTACCCTCTTCCTGAAAGCCAATGTGAGAGTAATGCAACCGCAAAAATGAAAAGGAACAATGAATAGTCAAAAACTATGACAACAATTGATGGCATCTGAATAGTGCTTTTTTCTTTCTTTTAATATATATATATATATATACAGGAAGACTTAAATCGGTGGAATGTCACTCAAGCTAACACTTAAATCTGGTGGTCTAAACAATAATCAAAGCTATGTCCTATGATCAATGTATATCTCAGAAGATACAAAATAATCCGCAAACTCATTTATTATTAAATATATACGTATCATCATCATCCTTGCCTTATTTTCATATGAACATGATCGACCACATGAATTCTCTTTTTCCAGTTTTTGTATTACAAATCATTTCTACAAAAATATTCAGATTTCTAAAATCATTTCTAACAATTTAATACCATCTTATTTCAGTTTCCCTCTCGGTCTCCTAACTTCTATGCAAATTAGTCTTCCTCTTCATATCAGTGCATCCGTAAGTCTTCTTTGTATATTTTTATACCACCAAAGTCTACTTTTTTCTTATTTTTATCACTAGTAGACTCCTAACTTCACCCTCATATTTTGATTCGGAGCCATATCTCTTCTAGTCATTCCTATCATCCATCATAACATCCTCATTTCCGCTACATGAATTCTTTATTCCTATTTATTTTTTAAAGCCCAACACTGCACCATATAAAATAGTTGGCATATCAACTAGCATGATAAGATATTTGCTATTAAGCAAGCATTTAATTTTTTTTTCCCACTTCAAATATTAACAACCTTTTCTTGAGCTCCCACAACTCACAAGATTCACTTGAAAGATAGGCAACAAAAAAACACGAAATGTAGATACAATCTTGTTTGTTATTTACTATTCTTTTTTTTTTTTCTTTTCTTTTTTTTTTTTTTTTTCTGAAAAGATTTGTCCTTGTACTCCTCTTTTTCCTATGAAATTTGATCATTCATTGATTAATAAAGATATATACATAAATGTCAATGTTACTCAATTATAAATTGTACACATAAAGCATGACCAAGATGTCAACAATCATAAATCCAAGTTTGAAGTAGTTGCATTTGTTTGTGCAATCCGCATTACTAAAAGTGAATTTAGTAACGATTAATGAGAACAAGTTAAAAGGCCCCTTATAGCACCATCTGATCGATCATCGAAGCAAAATTCACTCAAGAAATTGGAAACACAGTCAGTGTTCAATTACAATTATTAACAAAAATATAGCATCAATTTATTAATTCCAGGATTCATAACCCATGAACTAATAATAATAGTTTATTCTTTATGTTAAAAAAAAAAAAAAAAATTCATATTCAAGCTTATAAGCATTATATTTGATATATGATTGCTAAAAAAGAATCTAATTAATTTCAATTTACACACTAAATTCAGTAGAAATGAATAAATAATATTGAACAAGTTACGTGTGCATCGAAAGGAAAAATACTCCTCTAAAACCTAAAATGGAACTAATATAGGACCCACAAAGTGCTCTACATATATATATAAGCTCGACTCAGCAATTCATTTATACATGTTTAGATATATATGTGCGTGTGTATGTGTACAGATACATGTACATATATAGAGAGAAAGTATAGACCTTCAGTTCGATAGCAGCAGACTCTTTGAGGGCGGTGATAGCATCAAGGTCTGCTGCCTCGCTTTCGGTTTGAGGTTCAGAACCCTTTTCCATCAACAGAGCCATTGCTGCTACTTTCTAGACAGAGAGTAGAGAGAGAGAGTCTTTTCAGTTGAGTCCGGAGAAGATGCACTCAAGAAGTTCGTCGACTGGGCCGATGTTTCTAGAGAGAGAGAGACAGTGTGTGTCAAATGAACCTGGGGTCGATGCAGACCAAAGAGAAATATGGGCCGAGAGACTGGGCCGACATGGAGTAATAAAGATGGGTCGATTGAGACCAAAGAGGAATATGGGCCGACCCTATAAGGCCTCACAAACTCACGACTATGGTCAGACTCACAGATTATGTAATGGGTCCATCAATTGCCTTAAAACTCACAATGCTAGCTCGCTTAAATGAGGGCTAATATTGGAATAAAATCATCTACAGTACATTTTTTTTTGGGAGTCGTGTTTTACTTTGAAACACATTTGATCATATTTACTTCAAAATTTTACAAAGACGTCCAGATGATGTGTATTGTAAGTGATAATTTCACTCTGCAGGTCATTTTTATTTTTATTTTTTATATTTTAACTGTAATTTTAAATATTATTTTAAGCATAAAAGATTTTTAAATAGGTAAAATCATTATTGTGTGCGCGCCCATAAATACAAACAAGATCGAAAGAAACGAAAAAAGTAAAAAAGATTTTCTTAGTCGACAATCATCACATGCTAGATTTGATTTCAAATTATCTTGAGCTGCTAGTCTTGTAAGAATGCCAGAAATTTGAATCATGTATTTAGAAGAATTATAAGACGCAAGTCTTATATCTTAGAAGCGCAAAACTTATATGAATAACTTTCAACTTTTTTTTGCATCACCTTGTGAAAAATTTGAAAGTTTACATGAACGTTTTCAATTTTTTTCGAGGCCAATCTACAATTATATTAACTGAGACCAGAGATGAGGGAACTAAAAGAAGCCATTACCAAATTACCAATGTTAGTTCCTGCTGCAAGAAAAAATAAGCCATTATATTTTGCACAAAGCCCCCAAAATTTGGAAGTGCTAGCAAATCATCTTCTTCTTCTCCTCCTCCTCTCTCAAACAATACCGAATTAACGACCCGAATCTTCCTTCTAAAGTGGAAGAGCAAGGGTTCAAGTCGTCATCGTAGAGGCAAATTGGATGTGTGAGCTTTTGGCAAGTTAGTAAAAATAAATAAAACTCTAAACTCAGACATCTCACACTGAATTTCTCCCAACAATGTTTTAAATAGGATCGACAATGATGCATCAACCCCAGGCAACTTACCTCCATATTCTTGAAAACCAAACCAGCAACTAGGAGAAAAAATCGATAGAATTTCAATAAATGGATAAGAGGTATTCAAAATGGATGATGATTCAAAAGAAAATAACATTCCGATTCATCGATAATAAGTTACATGAAATGCCACTAGACTGTACAGCATCCTTAAAACATGTGCAGTAGCACCTCATATACTTTAGCAAGGAAATGCTACCACCATATCACTTTCACCGTCTCACAATGAGCTCTCCCTTCCAGTAACAGGATAGAAAGAGACCATCTAACTGAGAGAGCTCACTCTCATGGTAGCATATTCCAAAATCTATACAATTGTCCTATTCTTTCCTACGTAAAAAGAACAGGGATTGCTGCTTGCTACACACATGTTAAATATTTCCAAGAGGTTCAAAAATCAAATAGGTTACCTGTATCTATGGCATGCGCAGGTCCAGACGAGAGCATGTTCAATCCAGGAAGGGTAGAAACCTCTGGAACCCCAGAAACAGATTGGTTCTCCAGAAGCCAACTGTCGAGTTGGAAGTCTAATGGGTCAGCAATTGGGCTTACAGTAAAACTAGGAACGAACTCGGGGGCAAGTGACAGATTGTACATTGCTTCAGAACTCGGAAGTTGGGAATTCTCTACTGGAGGCTGTTGGTTGCTGTGGCTGGTAGGGGTAACCCAACTTGAGTAAAAACTCGAATCCAAATCACTTTGAGTTTGATTCCCTTGCTGGCATCCATCTAGGTTACCGTTTGAATCAGGAATAGGTTGACTGTATACTTGGGGTTGAGACACTTGTGCTGAATTTGCAAAGATGGTTTTCATAGTTGGCTGGGAGGATACTTGGGGTTGAGAAGGCAATGAGTCTGCAAAAATGTTGTCCATACTCGGTTCAGAGGATACTTGGGGTTGAAGAGGCACTGTATCTGCAAAAATGTCATCCATTCTCGGTTGGGAGGGTACTTGGGGTTGAGGCGGCACTGAATCTGCAAAAATGTTGTTGTCCATGCTCGGTTGGGAGGATACTTGGGGTTGAGGAGGCACTGAATCTGCAAAAATGTTGCCCATACAGGGTTGGGAGGATATATCAGGTTGACGAGGCAATGGATTCACAAAGATGTTATCCATATTTGGCTGGGAGGAAACTGGGGGTTGAGGCAGCACTGAATTCACAAAGATACTACTCATATTTGGCTGGGAGGAAACTGGGGGTCGAGAAGGCACTGGATTTGCAAGGATGCTGCTAGTGTTATGCTGGGAGGAACTCCAATATGTGTTTGATCCTGAAGTCATCTCGCTATAGAAATCTTGCCACCTAGTGGGATCTTTATCATTTGAAGTTGCCACTGGAGAGGGGTTTCCGGAGTATTGAGATCCATAATTACTGTTGGATGAACCATATCCAGAATTATTAGTTGTCAAGGGAACCCTAACAGGTCCCATCCTTTTGGGCATCGAATTGGTAGAAAATAATTTATGGGCCAAATTACCAACACTCTGACTTCTGTCCTTTCGAAATACATTATTACTTGTACTATGCAACTGTTGGGACACCAAATGTGGCTGAAATTTGCCTCTGGGCAAAACATATCGAGACTGTTGGCTTCTGCCTTGATTGATAATACTTGGAATGCTAAAATTGGTTGACCTAGAGCAAGAACGAGTAGTGGTTGACGTGGAAACCTGATTCTGGGCCAGAAGAGGCAGTGGAAGTGGTGAAACGTGGTTCGTCTGGGGTGGTGAAAAATGGTTCATCTGGGGTAGTCCAACTGACTGGCAAGTATTGTGGAGTTTAGAAACTGGCAAAGGAGATCTGTCACCATTCTTCAAACTTCTCCTCTTGAGTTTCCAGAGCTCCTCTTTATCAGTGGCATGACAATGGTCCATACTGGAAGTGCCAGTGCCCCAATGTACACATGGAGCATGTGCGTCACAAACATAACAATGGCACTGAAATTCAGAGAAGGTAGAAATCAAAACAGCAGAATGTTTCCCATGGATTAAAAAAAGCAAGTGCTACTGCTCACATAGGCCAAAATTCAAAAAGGGTGATCTTACCAGGTCACAGTGCTTCTCATGTGAAGTGGAAGCAAAAGGAAACTTAGCACAGAGGTGGCGAGGATGAGGGTAATCTCTGCATGCAATCTGCAATCCAAACAGAAAATGAAGAATGACATTTAATCCCCAACCAAACAGTAAATAAGGAGATTCCAATTAAAAACAACGAATAAGAATGAACTAACAAGGGTATGGGTGTTTAATATCATGAAGTGAATGGTGCAGCATTCAAGACTTTAAACAATATGCTATTTTGGGCATTCGCCATGTAAGTGTCATCAAACTTTAGCTGAGTCATTCTGTAAGTAAATGAGAATATACAGTCAGATTTGTGATTTAACATTTTTCTAACAATTAGGACTTATTATACAGTCAAATTCCCACATTCCTGCGTATATCAGGGAAAAAGAAAATCATATACGAACAATTTGAGTTTCCTCCTGCAGTTTCTAAAAATTTATAATTGCACGTTTGCAACTACGAAACAAAACTACTTTATTTCAAATAAAAACTCAACAAAGTACATAAAATTGCAAAAACCAAAACTTAGGAACTGCAGGATGACCAAATTGCAGATAAGAAAAGCACCTCCTCCTCCAACCAAAAACAAATATATATATAGAAAGGAAAAAACAGAGAGAACAAAGAAGTGGCTGTTGGAGGTCAGAAATGTACATTTAGTAAGGGGAGAGAGCCACCTACCCCTCCGCCCGCAAAAAAGGAAAAACAAAAAAGGAAAATAAAATTCTGGAGGGATCCGTATTAATTTTTAAATAGAGAATAAATGCCACGTTGCAATGATTTTTCTGTGCAGCCCTAGGTTGTAACTTTTAGCCAAACTTCTTAATTATTTAGCAAAATACCGGTTAAAGCTTGTGCCACGGAAAACTTGCTCCATGATACAGGGTTTCCATGACAGCTTGCATGGCTGGCAAAAAAAGGCCATGTTATTGGCCAGCAGCTGTCCCCATGTCACAAGCTTCAGTGCATATGCCTTCACCCAATGGAAAAAGAAAAAGAAAAAGAAAAAGTCATGTTCAAAGCAAGAAGAAGAATTCAGCAACAGGCCACCTATTTAAGGCTTGAAATGTTAACCCTCTTGGTTGGCCATCAGCTGCACATGTTAAATAAACCCCTTTATGCAGGCCTCTTTGACATGCCACTGAAACAAACCCAGCCATGTGAAAAAACATCCATTACAAAACAGTATAAAGCACAACCACAATGGTGCTTTGCAGATAACTATATGAAACAGTGCAACTGATACCAGCGCACCCATCATATGGATACCATCCCTGAACAATCCGCATATTCCTGTAAGCAGGATCTTAAGGAATAAAGCACAGAGAGTATTGATAGTAGTCCAAATCTCATTGCCGATATATGGAAGCAGCATGCACCCAAGCCATCCAAACTATTAAGTAGTTCCAAGTAGAATGTTAATTTGCCGTGGAACCAGTGCAATTACAATCAGTAATCATGCATTTCTATACCCTAATTAAGTAGGGAAACTAAAAGAGTGTATATTCAATTGAAATCAGGATCGAAAAAAATATATACAGGAACCTAGCCAACATGCCAGGAAACAGAACTAAAACCTTGCAGTTTCACCTTTTTACAGTTGACATGACCAACAATGAGTCAATGAGACTCCGCCAATATGGAGAATTAAGGGATAGACCATATCCTGAGCATAAAAAAAAGTAAACTGACAAATCAATAGAATAAATAGATGAAAAAAAGTTTAAGTGAGAAATTCCTTTAAACCACCTCCCTATAAACCCGTTGGACTTTCTATAAACTCCAATTTCGCTTCACTTCCCAATAGAGATAGAAATAAAAAGGTAATCTTTAAGATCATAAATTTTATAAAGTAATAGCATTTCTTAGACCCTACTAATACTCAAATGAATTTCCTCTTCTCCTGCTTACTTACACCATCTAGTACCTATACCACCATGGATTCCTCAATGCAGTCTCCTCCTGTCAAGCCTCTTCAACAAACAATAATCTCCAAATCCACCAACCCTGGACCCCAACCCCAACCATCCTAAAGCACAATCCAACTTCAACTAACCTTCAAATGTAGAATCAAATTGACAATTTCATGAATTAAGATGCAGGACTAATTCAATTGAAAATAAAAATAAGACTCTATTAGGTGAAGTTAATTTCAAAAAAATAAATAAAATTTTGAAGTATGTTCTTATATATCAGTTCCATGAAGATTACAACTCATTCTCTCAGTAATGAAAAATTGATGGAGCACAACTCAGATAGTTCTAGAGAATACTGTTGAGATGCACAAAAGCTTTGTGTGTTTCCACATTGCACGGGATAAAACTAGAACAGAGTTGATATCGCCACTAACAAGATAAGGGCCTTAATGCAAAAGTTACTCAAGACTGACAAGCACAACAATATGGATTTGTGTCTAAAGTAGGGATGGCAACGGGGCGGTTTGGGGTGGGTTTCCCATTCCCCATCCCCGCCCCCGTTTAATTTTGGTACCCCCAAAATTGCCCCATAACCGGTTAATTTTTTGCCTCTAATCCCCATAATTGCCCCAGACCCCGCCCCACTTGCCCCGCCCCCGCCCCATCCCCCGCCCCATAACCGATTATATTTTTAGGGCAACTCATGTTAGCCTCCCCAGTCGCCTCCATCTCTATTCTCGTTCTCAACTCTGAACTTGCCTCTCTCTCTCTCTCTCTGCAATTGCAAACTACAAAATCTACAAGAATCAGAAGGTCAAAACCCATAAACTACAAAATCTACAAGAATCAGAAGGTTAAAACCCATATATTTCATTTTATCTATCTGTCTGCAAGAACCAAAAGTTCAAAACCCATATCTGCATATCATTTCAAAAACCCCAGAAGAAGAAAGCATTCATCGATCCAACACGGGTCTCCGTCTCTGATTGGATCTAGAGAGAGAAACAAAAACAATGGCGGGCGTCTGCCGCGTCTCTCTGAAGTGCAGCAAATGTGGGACCCTCCTGAAATCGGTAGAAGAAGCTCAAGAACACGCCGAGCTCACTGCTCACTCTAACTTCTCTGAATCCACCGAAGCCGTCCTCAATCTCATCTGCACCTCTTGCCGCAAACCTTGCCGCTCCAAAACCGTACAATTCAACCATATATACACCCAATTATATACCTATAATTATATATATCAAGAATCAAGATTGATGTATAGATACACGTATGTATTATGTATATGTATTGTTGTGATCGTTGTGGATTTGATTTGTGTGTTTTTGGAATTTGAAGGAGAGCGATTTGCACACAAAGAGGGAGAGCTCAGAGACACGGCTGTAATCACGGCTGCTACTATTGAATGATGTATGAAAGTGAAGGGTAGGGTTTCCAATATATATATATATATATATAGTGAGGGTTAGTTTAGTAAATATATTAATATGGCAGGATAAATTAGTAATTTAACATATTAAACGGGGCGGTTATGGGGCGGGTATGGGGCGGGGATCTTAGTCCCCCGCCCCCGCCCCGCAACCGGCCGGTTTATTTTTTTTAACCCCCATCCCCACCCCCATTTAAGTAAACGGTTCTCCAAACCCGCTTTAAATGGGGCGGGGGCGGGGAGGTTCCCCACCGGGTTGGGGATTTTTGCCACCCCTAGTCTAAAGCAACAGCAACCACTTAATGTAAATAATGCCAGTATTAGGTCTATATCCACATATGCTAGGATGCTGTATTATTCTTCTGAGAAAACTGCGTTCAAAAATATCTAAACTAAGAAATCATCTTTAATCACTAGCTGAAATAAAAAGAAAACTCTTAAAAGCCCCATTGGACCAAAACCTCAGAGGAAGCTACATCACTGCAAGACCTAGCTAGGGCTGCAAATGAACCTTGTTGTTCATTGACAACTCAGGATAAGCTCATTTAAAGATCGGTTGAAGTTCAGTCATTAAATAAACGAGCTGAAGTAAAGCTCAAAATTTTTTCTTTTCATTTAGCAAACAAGCCAATCCCGAACACTGTTAGGCTCGGCTCATGAACACGTTCATAAACATAGGCTTGTGTACACTTGCATAGTTTAATGAACATAGGCCTCCGTATGAGTTCACAAACGAGCCAAAGCGATCTTGAACGCGGGCTCAAATTGAACCCAAATGACTTTTTTTATTAAACAAGTTGAGTCCAAACTTTTCAAAATAATGTCGAGTCGAGTCCAAGCTCAGTATTTCAAACTCATAAGGATCCCGAGCCAAGTCCGAGCTAAGTATACAAACAACAAGCAGAGCCCGAACAAACGAAAGCTCGGCTTGACTTGGTTCATTTCAGCCCTAGCGCTAGCAGAAATTAGGAATAAAGTGTAAATCATGGAACATTCCCATATAAGACTGGCTAAAACTACATGCCCAACTAGTGACTTTCTTATAAAGGTGGGATTACACCAAGGATTGGTGTTGAGTCCATACCTATTTGCGAGAATACTAGACAAAATAACGAAAGATATTCAAGAAAACATCCCATGGTGTATGTTATTTGCAGATGACATAGTTTTAATAGATGCTTTGAAGGAAGCCTTGGCAAGGCATTAAAATCAAGGGGTCTAAGAATTAGTAAAATTAAAACAGAATATATGACATGTAAATTTGATATATTAGAAAACGATGACAATATAAATATTACACTTCAAGACCTAAGAGTTACTCAAAAGAACTATTTATGTTACCTTTGATCAACTACAAAAAGATGTGGAGATAGATGGTGATGTAGTAATTAGGATTGGAGCCCCGTGGACAAAATGGAGGCAAGCTAGTGGTATCTTTTGTGACACGTGAATACCAAATAAATTTATAAAAAAAAAAAAATCTATAGAACGGTTACTAAGTCGGCCATATTGTATGGAGTGTTGGGTGCTGAAAAAGACACAAATACAATGAATTCATGTAACAAAAATGAGAATGCTAAGTTTGATTATATGAATCACTAGAAGAGATAAGATAAATAATGAACGTGTGAGCACAACATTAGTTACAACCTTAGATCAAGTATGGCTGGTGTTAGTAAGAATATCTTCTTTTTTCCCCACTGGTGTGCAGGTGTGGGAGTTTGGGGATGTGTGTTGTTTGTTGGGGGAAGGAGGAGGCAAATGGAGTTTAGTGAAAACAAATGCTTTTGAACAAACAAGGACAGAGGATACATTAAAAAATAAAATAAAAATTGCAGGGTAAAACATTGCCAACCATGGGGGAAAGCTGCCCAGTAGACAAGTTCATCAGTCCGTTTATTAATTGGTTGAAAATCCTTACACCAGTGTAGCAGAGAAAAGAAGACCAGCATAATAATAAATAACAACCGTAACATGAAAGCTAGACCCTATGCTTTTGTTTATATCTACAGATCTCTCCCACTGTTTTAAACCTTTCTAGAAAGTCTTTATGCTGATTATTTTCATGTAATCCAACAGACATCTTAGTTCCATCCATTTTTTCTTTTACCACCCTTATTTCCGTGTCATAGCCATCCCATTTTTGTTACATCATCTTTTACCAAAAAAGAAAACAATTATTTAAAGCTTAAATAAGTAAATCCTTAGAAGCCAAAGAATTTGAAACTATTCGGTCAAAAGTATGATCCATGAAAAGAAAATGATGAAATAAACACAAACTAACATTACCTAATTAAAAAACCATCACTTCGGATATTAGAGGCATGAATTAGCATATCTAATCAAAGAGACGGATATAAGAACCTGATAATGGAGCAGAAAACTTCTACAAGTTATAAAAAGTGTGTGTCCCATCAAACCAAGCCAAAGGGAAATCCATCCAAGTAGATCAGAAACCCCGGGATTCCTGTTTCCTGTTGGGATCTAAAACACCTAAACTAGTTTAATACAAATTTTAATGATCTTACTATAGGAAGTCACAGGAGAAGAGAACCATGACCACGCAACATAATCATCGGACTCCTAGACTACCGGATTCAAAATCTATTACGTGATCTAAATGAAACCCTATCTTACCTATATCCTATATAAATTAATCTCCACTGCCTGTCTAAATTACTTCTGCAAGCAAAGAAAATGTATGCAAGTAAGATAAAGCATTAATGTCCCACTGAAAAACTAGAAGTTCATGCTATGGAACTTCAATGCCCCACCGCAGGCCCTAAATAGCTGAACCACTAATTCAAGCAAAGTGACCAACAACTAACATAATAGAATAAATAACAAGAGCACTTGACTCGTTTCTAAAAAAAATTAAGCATAACTTAATGTCGGACAATGTTTATAGTTAAAGTGTTAAACAGAGTCTGACAGTAAGTTTTCCTTTTAATTTGACTAGTAATCAAAGTTTAAAGCAAGGTTTACAAGATGGTGTGTAGTTTAAACATCATTCAGTTTGTATGATTGTCCCCATCCCCACCACCAAGAAAAAACCACTATGGGGAGGGGAAGCAGTTGCAAAACTTCAAAAATTATCTTCCTTTTACATAATAATCATAGAAGCCCAGGACACTACAAACTTCTTTCCCTCACATCTAGACAATGATGTCATGATCTCCATCAATAAATGAAAAACACGCCAGGAAAAGAAAATGAAGACTTCAAGAAATAAACATGATGTATAATCTTGAAGCCCAGGACACTACAAACTTCTTTTCCTCACATCTAGACAATGATGTCAGGATCTCCATCAATAAATGAAAAACACCCCAGGAAAAGAAAATGAAGACTTAAAGAAATAAACATGATGTATAATCTTGAAATTATTGGACTAACGCATAATGACTGCATGTGGAACTTACTGCAATAAAACAACCTCTATTTGAGATAAACCATGAGCCCAATATCAACACAGATATTAAAAACCACTAAAGTGTGAAATATATTGAATCATAATTCCACAATAAAATAGAACTTCTAATACCTGCCCCTTCTCGCCAACGATGAGCAAATCATCCGACTCACCCGCCTTATCATTCTCAATTGCAACCGGCTTATCTGGGTCACCATCCAAAATCACACAGTCATCATCCAAGTCTTTAACTGTTGACTTCAATCTCTGTTTAGGGTTCGCCATAAACTCACCCACCAATACCACATCATCATCGTCTTCAAGAAACTCTGATATCCAATCATAGTCGTCGCCGCCGCCGTCGCCGCCCCCACCACAACCCTCTTCGTCCGAGCTTATATCAAGCACTACAGGCTTCGGATCCATCCAAAATCCCCAACTTAACTATTCAATGAACTTCTCAAGCAATTTCTACTCTTTCACATCCTATCTCGCTCTGATAAATAATTTCCCAGAATTTTTCACTAAATATAAATAACCAGAATCAAAGAAAACGAATTTTAGCGTTTGTGTGAGAAAAAAAACATAAAAAAAAAAAAGCACTTTATGAATTCCAATAACTCACTGAGAACGAATCGTCCCTACGGTTTATTGTTCTGACAAATTTTTCCTCCAAAAGTGACTCGAAAATCTCAAATATATACATACACATATACATATACATAAAGAGAGAGTGTTTCTATAGAATAATTAGGGTTCGACCGGTTTATATATGGAAAAAAACAGGAATTATAACCTAAAGAAATCAGAGTTGGGGTATTTGAAACGATTGAATACAATTGAAAGTTGAGAGAGATGTGAGTGACTGAAAAATGAAAAAGGAAACCCAGAAACGTGTAGAGAGAGGAGATGAATGATTCTGAAATGCAAAACCCTAGTTTTTCTCGCGATCGGGTTTGTGTAGATTTCTCATAAATTGGGAAAAGTTCTCTGGGCGAACTGCGAGTGACGTGACCAGTGAGTCGTGATTCGTGAGTGAGTTGCACGGTCACGAGCTCGTGGGAATAATGGGCCGTTTGGGTGATTGGGCCTCTTCGTAAGCACAGGACACGGAATGGGCATTGTGCTGGTTTGTTGTTACAAAGTTCTTTTCCGTTGCACCCGGATGAAAAGTGAAAAAAGTATAAATCATTGAGTATGCAATATTATGTAATAAAAACCTTCTATTTTCTTTCTTTTCTAGTTGATTCCGTCTAACCAAACCAAGTCTCATTTTCCATTTATCTTTCCTTTCTTTTCTGGTTGATTTCGCCATCTTATCTGAAGCTTTCCTTTGCAAAGGAAGCTTCAAACTTAACTGTTCATCTCGAGCTCCCCCTGTATAGAAGCTCGAGACTTAAAGGAAGTGCGGAAGCTCAAGACCAAATAAGGCAAGTGTAGATACTAAAATTTTAGTGGGCTTTGGTGTTGACAAATAGACCCATTAAATATGGGCCTAATGTTTAATTAAGTTATTTAATTGACCTAAGTTTGGTTCACTTAAATTATTTAATTAGCCCAACCCAGATGGTTAAATAAAAAGATAATTATTCCTAATAAAATATATTTGGAATAATTATTTTTAAGAATAATTATCATAATATAACCGGCCCGGGCAGTTATAATTTTATCCTTATCAGGAGATGACACGTGTCATCATCCTATCAACCCAAGAAACCTATAAATAGAGGCTTGGAGGAAATGAGAAAGGGTACAAAAATTCAGAGTTCAGAAATCCAGAGATTCAGAAATCCAGAAGGTCCAGAAATTGAGAGAATCAGAAATCCCTAGGGCAAACCTGAAGGCGAAGAATACCAAACATATCCAAAGTCGTGCCGTTCTTCAGCAAATTCAACAAATTTTGTCTTATCTTAAGACGAAGAACAACAAGCACATCCAAAGACGTGCCGTTCTTCCTCAAATTCAACAAATGACACAAATTCAGAATTCAGAAGTTCAGAAATTCATACACAAATTCAGAATTCAGAAGTCTAGAAACAAAGGACACAAATTCCGAATTCAGAAGTCTAGAAAACAAAGGACACAAATTCAGAATTCAGAAGTCCAGAAATCCAGAGACTCAGAAGTCAGAGACACAAATTCAGAATCCAAACCCAAAAGTGAAGAACATTAAGCACATCTAAAGTCGTGCCGTTCTTCATTAAATTTCACGGTGATCAACAACAAGCACATCCAACGACGTGCCGTTCTTCATCAAATTCCACGGTGATTCGAGAATAAACTCGTGCAGCCCTTGGATCCAACCAACAACAAAAAAAAAAAGATCGAATCAGAGGACCATTCTTTTTGTAAAGAATATTTTTACAAATGATTATACTCAAATTTTTCAAATTAATAAATTACTATTTGCTCCATATTTTGTTTCTATTTACAGACTTACAAAATTTGTGTGTATAAATTTCTGGCACGCCCGGTGGGACGTCCTCTGCCTCTCATCTCTTTCTTCTACATCAAATCCTCAACAAATTCATCATCAGATTCTATGACTTTCAACAAGATTCAGACGAAGAGCAAGAACACCACCAAAGACATCGCGGTCATGACGGACAACATAAATACCATCGTAAAAGGTGGCAAGAATGTTGTAACTTCATTAAGTGGTATAAACACCTCTGCAAGTTCAATGATGTGGAGCATGGTCAAATCATCCGTTCCTGCCAAAAGACAGCACGATGCGATGAGAGTCAATTCTACCAAATCTGTCAAAGTAACAACTCAAACTCAAACCGCCTTCATCTCGCTGGGGGCAAGGAGGAAGGTTCCTATAACCTCAAACGTTGCTCTAGTCACAAGTTCAAGTTCCACCTCGCTGGGGGCAAAGAGGAAGGTTCCTACAACCTTAAAGATTGCTCTAATCACAAGTTTAAGGCTAGTCCACCCAAGGCCAAAGATTTTTTCTAACTCCATCACTATGCCAGTCATGATGACGAGTACTACCTCGTATGAAGAGTAATTGACGACTATGGCCCGTGCAATTGAAAGATTACAACACTCTTTCAAAGAGCAAGATCTGAAAATTGCCTCGTTGACAGAAAAGTTAAAATTGCGTGATGACAATGTTGAGTCAAGCAAAGGCCAAATTCCTCATTCTAATTCTATGCTAGACATCACTCTAATTGACGATCAAAATGACACGTCTACTAATCCAACAATTGAAGCTGTCTCCGTCACCTCACTTTCTATTCAACAACTTCAAGACGTGATAATGAATTGCATAAACGAACAATACAGTGGCATTCCTCAAAGTGCTCGCATGTACTCAAAGCCTTACACAGAAAGAATTGACATCTTAAAAATGCCGGTTGGGTATCAACTTCCAAAGCTTCAACAATTTGATGGAAAAAGAAATCCCAAGCAACATGTCGCACACTTTGTGGAAACTTGTGGCAATGCTGGTATAAACAGAGATCTCCTTGTCAAGCAATTCGTTCGTTCCCTCAAAGGGAATGCATTTGATTGGTACGCAGACCTTAAAGCTAGAGGTATTGATAGTTGGGAGCAGATGGAACAAGAATTTTTCAACCGTTTCTACAGCACTTGTCGTATTGTAAGTATGCTGGAGCTTACAAATACAAAACAGATGAAGGGTGAACTCGTGGTTAACTACATCAACCGTTGGCGAGCTCTAAGTCTTGGCTGTAAGGATCGTTTATCTGAAATTTTTGCAGTTAAAGCATGTATGCAAGGCATGCGCTGTGAGCTTCTTTACATCCTACAAAGGATTAAGCCTCGCACATTTGAAAAGCTTGTTACTCGAGCCCACGACATGGAGCTTAGCATGGAAAATCATGGTGCTAAGAAAGATGTTCCAGATATACCCGACAACCTTCAAGAAGACGAGGGAAGTGAGTTAGAAGAAGAAGACAATATACTTCTTAACTCGGACGACGAAGTAGCATCATCTTTCATTATAACCATCAACTCAAGAGACTTGCATCAAGAAATGCACCATGCTATAACAATGACTTCAACCGAAAATGCAAAATCACAGGGGGCATTAAGTCAAAGAAACCAAGAAGAAAATCCTCAAAGTGATGACGAGATAGTCCGTGCCCTCCAGTATAAGCTTAGATTGTCGTCTTATTCTTGCAAAGTTGAAAAATAAATAAAATTGAAGTGCTCCCAGATACGAGCCTAAACTGTCGATGATATTCCCTGACACAAGAATAAACTGTCAACTTGAAAAAAAAATGACACTCCTTGACACGAGTTTAAACTGTCTAACTGAAAAAAAAAAATATCGAGAACTCCTTGATTCGAGTTCAAACTGTCTCCCAAACAAAAAAATGACACTCCTTGACACGAGCTTAAACTGTCTACCTGAAAAAAATTGACACTCCTTGATATGAGTATAAACTATCTATCTAAAGAAAAAAAAAAAAGACACTCCTTGGCATGAGTATAAATTGTCCGCCTGAAGGAAAAAAAAAAACTCTTTGACATGAGTATAAACTGTCTACCAAAAAAAAAAAAAAAAAATTTGTGAACTACATGATGACTTGATCCCTGTTTAAGGTATGTAGGCATCTTGGAAGTTTGTTCCAAGTTCAGTCAACCTAAAAAAAAGGGGCAAAGTGTGCTCATCGCATGATATCAAAAGTGCTCGTCGCACCTATCAACTTAGCATGCCACCAAAGTGTAGTTACAAATAAAATTTTGGTTTGTCGCCAAATTGTAGCTGCAACGAAGAAATTTGGCCCACCGCCAAAATATAGCTACAAAGAATAATTTTGGTCCCTCGCCATAATTGTAGCTATAAAGGAAATTTTGATCCAGCAAAGTCTAGTTACGAAGAAATAAATTGGTTCGTTGCCAGACTGTAGGTGCCAAGAAAAATTCTGCTCGCCACTGAAGTATTACTGGAAAAGATTTTCGTTGAGCTATTGTTGAAGGGAAAAAAAAATTTGTTCGTCTTCGAGGTATGGCTGGAAGAAATAAATAAAATTGACATGCCGCCAAGGCGTCGCTAAAGAATCTGGGTCATCGCCAAAGTGTTGCTGCAACAAAGTTTTAACTCATCGTCGAGGGGTCGCTAAAAAAAAAATTGCTTGCCGCCGAGATGTTGCTGAAAGAGAAATTTGGTTTTCTATTGAGGTATTGCGTCAAGAAAAATTCACGGCGTCGCCAAGATATTGCTGAAGTAAAAACAAATCACCACACGGAGGCATAGGCATGCAAGCTTTGTCTGTCATATCCTTACAGCATCTGCAACAGAGCTCTATCTTCGAGACAGATATGCACAAGCACACTTGCGTAACTCGGTAACTTCATGTCAAGTGACTACCGGTGTCTGGTGCATAAGTAAACTTATACATTGAGTTAGATCTTTTGGTAGAGCTTTGGCTTGAAATCATCATCAAAACTGATAATAGTTAATGATGCTGGTGGTATGACCTCTCGAAGTATGGTCTCGCTCTATCAATGGCTGCTAAATGATCCATGGCTGATGAAGACGTTCTAGCGATGGCTAACAATGCTAGTGGTATGACCTCTTGGAGTTTGTTCTTACTCTCTGAATGGTTGTTGTCTGATCTGTGGCTAATGAAAACTACATCTGTCGTTGCTCTCTGGATTGATTTATGACTGTTGACGACACTGTCTGTGCTGGTCGCATGACCTCTCGGAGTATGGTCTCGCTCTATTAATGGCTTCTAGATGATCCATGGCTGATGAAGATGCTCTGGCAACGGTGTTGATAACGTTGTCAGAGCTATTGGTAAAGCCTCCCTACGTCTACATATCTCGTTGCTCTCCGAGCCGATTTGTGGTTGCTGACGACATTGTCTGTGCTGGTGGCATGACCTCTCAGAGTTTGTTCTCGCTCTAAAACGGTGATAGTATGGGGTTTGAAACTCTTGAAAAACACCATGGTTGTCTAGCACCCCCTAAAAAAAATTAAAAAAATCAAAAGTGTGGAACGGCATGCATGGAAGATTTTGGTTCCAAAAGAACAATGGGTCCTTATGGACTAGTTGCGTTCTGAAGGAACAATGAGTCCTTACGGA